CTTCAAATCAAAGCTAAAATTTTCATGCAAAAGCTTCAAGTTTTATATTGTTATGAAAGTTCATAGAACTTGTATATTTTGAGCTTCAAATCTTCAAGACCCATGGCATTCCCTCTCAATTTTGGACACTCATGTAAGAAAACAAATATACGATCATGGATTTCATGAAATCTATGCCATGCAAGGATCAAATTTTTGGGTTTAAAGTAGAAAATTATGAAATCATACATATATGAGTTCTAAGTCCAACACTTTGAAGATTTCTTATAAACCATGCAAGAAATGATGTTCTTCAATCTCATAGCTCAAGAAATCTTTTTGAAAACTTTAGAATCCATAAAGTTTATGCAATATAACAAGAATGTCATGAGTTCATGCCATGCATGTAGGAATTCAACTATGTCTTGACTTTCTATGACAAAATATATGCAAAAGACCAAATTACTTCCATGAATTCAACACTAGAGCACATTATATTCAAGAATTGGGAGTCAAAAGCTTACCTAGAGTCTTGAATTACTCTTGCTCTAGCTTATTCTTGATGAACTCAAGCAAAACCTTGAAAATCTCCTTCAATCTCTACACTCTCTCTCTCTAAAATGGAGTCTCTCTCTCTCTATAAAATGAAGTATGTAGATTTTCTTTCTAAAGGATGAAGTTGAGCTCAAAAGATGGGCTTAAAGTTCGTATATATGTATATATATATCTATTCCCAAGCTTATTACAATAATGAGAGTCAAACACAACTTAACAAATCAGACAAAATCAATTTTTAATTAAACTTTCCAAATGGCTTTAAAAATTTCCATTAGTATATCCATGTACTCAATTTTGGTTTCTGAACCCATTAAGGCTATCAATTTCAGTTTCAAAGTCAAGCTCAAAACAGATAGTTTCTCAATCGGGACAAGTATAAACCAATTAAATTACATGGCACATATCTCATTTAGAATTTAACACATAATTAATTAATTACATTCACGATTAGCAAGTTTAGGTCGTCATAGTATTAAACTACTAATAATATAGTATTGAATTAATACATTATTACCGTAAGACAGTTCCAATTCAACAAATTCATATAGGAATACAAAAAGGACAAATATTTGTCTGTATTCTTGGTAAATTGATTTTTAAAAAGCATTACATAAAAAATGAGTTTCTTTTAAGGACTGATTAAACTAATATACTAATAAAGTATCACACTATTAAAGTAAAACAGTGCAAATCTTTTTCAAAGACAAACAAACAAAGATTTATTCTAAAAATGGCGAATCAAACTAGTATTATATCACAAATCAATTTTAATAATCATTCACTGAAAAAATAAACAAATACTATAAGTAAATACCATAAACAAGTGGTCGATTCCTTCGCTTTCCATTATTCTCTCTTCAAATCCAATCCATGATTCAATGTTAGTTCGTGACCTTCATTCAATGATGAACTTTGATTTCGTATGAAGGATTTGAAAACCCTAAAAGCGATTTTGATTCCAAGAAAACCCTAGTTCAACCGTCCATCACACCAACTCCTTTTGTAAGCAAATCCCTCTTATATTCCATCCAAAAGATAGTTTAGGAGGATAACTTAACACATTTCGTCCAATTGTAGACGAAATGTGACGGCAGGGGCTAAATTGATCAATTTTTTGAAAGTTCGGGTGTAAAATTGATATTAATCGAAGTATGGAGGTCAAATTGAAAAATGTGTGAAACTTTGGAGAGGCAAAATGATATTTCCTCTAAAATAAATGATATCATGCTATATTATCAAATTAACCTTTTATAGGTGTTAGTCTTTTTATTTGTTCTATATCTATATCTAAAAGGGTAGTTTTGGTATTCCAAACAAAACAATATTTGGTTGATTTCATTTCTCTCACAATCTCTCTACTTTTACGGAGATTGAAAATAGAGGTTATGAGAAAAATGTGTGTCTCTTCATTTCATCCAATTTCTCTCCATTTCATTTCTTTTCTTTCCAAATCACTCAAACCAAACGAAGTATAATCGAACCATCCAATTCTTAATTGTTATCGATCTTGATGTATATTTTTGAATTTTTTTTTGACAAAAAATCATTTCTAGGAATAACTTTTCAGGACAATTTATGTATCTCTCTTATCTTATTGCCATAGATGTTGTAAGGAGAAGAGATAACTATTTACTCTAAGAATTTAACCTAATTTGATAGAGAATATGATTTATTGTATTTGATGTTAAATCGTTCCCAGGAATAAGTTTCTATGAAAAATTCTATTTCGCTTTCCTTTTTATTCATGTGGATATTCTGGGGAGAGGAAATACTTGTTTACCTAATATGTATGAAGAAATAAAAAGATAGAGGAATTTAAACTAATTTGTATGAAGAAATAAAAAGATAAAGAAACTAAACAAGTTTTAATGAGTTTATCTATTTTTTTAAGTTAAATCTTTTATAGGAGTAACTTTTCGGAAAAATAAAATAAGAGTGTGTGATATTAGTTCAAACTACTTCCAAAATTAATCTTGCTTTTAGCAATCCAAGTAGTGTTCTTCGATGTCATAAAAAAACATGGCAACTTTAATATGCACAGAGTAATAAAAACTTTTATTCCCAATTTACATAATTCAACCCACGAGAATTAATCATAAATAATAACAAGTGACTCAACTCCATTGCATACAAGTCAGGATATGAAGGGGTTTGCAATAAGTTTCAATACTAACCCTTCCCTGCAAGGTCAAACGAGATGGAAAGGAAGAGTGGTGTACAATGCTAGTGCTGTCAAATCTCCACTGGGTGAAACCAAGAATGCAACTGAAATAGAGTAGGGGTAAATGAATGACAAGTGTTGTTTTTCTTTTTGTTTAACATGGAATACAATGCAATAGATATAAAGGTTTTTGCTATTTGTGTTTATATTTCATAACCTTTATAGTGGTATGGGCTTTTTGTACATTTGAGGCTTGGTTTTTGTATTGGCTGCCCCTTTCTTAGTGTATGTTTTGCACAACATGAATAACAAGTGTATGAACTGATCAAAGTTGAAAGATAATTTAGTGACTTTACTGCTGCTATGACAATATATGTCTTCATTGGTGATGGACAACTATGTGTATGTGTTTTGGTGCCTTTTCTTTTCTTTTCTCCTTCTTTTTTTTTTTTTCTTTTTTAGTTTTCAGTTTTCAGTTTAAGGATGACACAACAATAAAAGCAAGAATGTCAATTTTTGTATCTTTATTGTATTGTTTTGACCAATTTGAATTTGGAGTGACAAATTGTGTGTGTGATTCACAATCCTTTCCTATCTTCTGTGTCTTCATTGGTGATAAACTGCTATGTGTGTGTGCTTTGGTGCTTTTCAGTTTTCAGTTCAAGGATGGACACAAAGTGAAAGCAAGAATGTAACTTTGGTGCTTTTACTGTATTGTTTTGCCCAATTTGAATTTGGAGTGACAATTACGGTGACAAATTGTGTGTGAATCCTAATCATTTCCTAACTTCTGTGTGTTTCCTCTGTTTATGTGTGAGTCACCAAACACAAAATAATAAACACAACATTAATAGGTCACCAAACACACAATTTTCATTTCAAAATCATATATTTCAATTAACAATAGTTCGCCCATTACATATGATTCATAAACAGAATACAGATTGCATTCATTCTTACACTACCATACAACTTGTAACTTTACATTACAAACCATATTCCCATAACCAACTATGACAAAACCAAGCAAATTCATAATTTCCTCTCTCTTCTAGTCCTTCTCTTCAGTTGTGCTTCTATCTTATTCAACTTCTTCAACAAACCAAGAATGATCTACACTCCCCGGTCGCACATGGGTAGGTCTACCCTAGGTAAAGTGATTGCAACTATTGTTAGGGCAACTAAGAAATCTCCTTCCAGGATTTGCATCGGTCCATGATGTGTGTGTATCAACCTTCTTCTTCCATAATCATTGCAAAATATCTCGTCCACACCACTTGCATTCTGTCTCCCTTGATTTCTTGAGCTTCGATTGTTCCTAATTTCTTCTCTCCGACTGATTTCCTTGATGCTTTGTTTTTTTATTCTATTTTGCGTCGGTCCCTATTTTTGTAGATTGAAAGGAATGTTAGTTTTTGGCGGGAAAACCTTAATTTTCTCTCCATCCAAAAATATAGAGGGTCATGTCACTCATTCCGTCCACTTCCTTAACGAAAATAGACGGTAAGAGTAAAATTGATAGGAATTTACATAGTATGTGAGTAAAATTGAAAATATTAAAAGTCTAAAAATATAATTAGGAGTTGTTTGAGATATTCTAAATAGGTGTACTTTTTGACTTTTTATGAAATATGAGTTGGGTTTAAAATTATGTGGTAGAGAAGTGATATGACTTAAATAAGATAGTATTTTTTTAATTTTTTGACTTTTTTAATATATGCCAAACAAGACTTGAAAATCATGCCAAGATATAAAGGCAAAAATGAAGGGTATGTTTGGTTTGAGTTTGGGAGATGAGTTTTAGAGATAAAAAGTACGTAAAGTTGTTTAGTTTTAGTTTTTTCAAAAGATGTTTTGGAAATTTATTTTGAGAGAGAGTTTTGAAAAAAGTGATTGATTTGATGTGTATCAGAGAGAGATTTGTTTGGAAAACTTGTAAACCAAACAAGTTTTGAGAAATTTTTTTGAAAAAATTTGTTTAATTTGATTACTTTTGAAAATTTATTTGTAGTGAATTTTTCTCAAAAATTTTTAAAAAACCCAAATCAAAAAAGGCCTAAATTTTCTTTATAATTTATAAAAAAAAAAAAAAAAATAAAAAAAAAAAAATATATAGATTTGGCGTGTCTCCGTTTTTGAAAAGCCAAACACGCGCTCAAGATTGTTGGTGTAAAAGCACGCACAGTGCATCAAGGGTGCATCGTGGTACGTGTACGTATATCCCCCTACCGACTTCAAAGACGTGGCCGAGTTTTGCACCTCACCGACCCCTCGTCCCTCTCACATTTGCAACAAAAAGAAAAAACTCAACATCTTCAATTCTGCTCTCTCTCTCTCCATTTTTTTCCCTCAAGCCTTCTTCAGCTTTACAAGCCCTAGAGAGAGAAAAAAACAACACACACAAGCTTTTGTATTTCTCTCATATCTCTCTACTCTTTGTTTCGGAATCACGTTGTTTTGATTGAAAAACATTGAAAATCCGGTACGATTTTCGACGCAATCTCGCCCTGTTGTTTTGAAGTTTGTAGCTCTATTTGATCAGTTAGGGTTTAATTTCATCTCTGCCGCTGTTTTGCTTGTTGAATATACTCTGTACAACCTTTTGCCCCCCTTCATGAATCAGATACACACTCACGATCTGCTTTTTACTTTTTGTGTTAAATTATCTATTTTTTTTTCCTTCTTTGAATTGCATTCGAAATTCTAAATATTTTAAGTAGAAGATTGAGTTTTATTGTTAAATTGATCATTTTTTGAAAATTTAGTAGAATTTGACTCAGTAAAAATCGAATTTAGTAGAATTTGACTTAGTAGAAATTCTAAAATTTAGTTAAATTGGTCTTCAAATTCATGACAGATCGGTTAAGGGTAAAAATCGATTTTTTTTTTTTTCATCTAACATTTGTGCTTTTTTAAAAAAAAAAAAAAAAATCTTAATCACATGGTTGTAAAATTTAAACCTAAGGTTACTATTAAAAACTTAAAGCTCAAAATTGCGAAATTTGTAGTAAAGCTGAAATTTTTATGTTAAAAATTAAATTGTGATCACGTGGAAAATTCATGTTATTATCATGTAAGACTACGGTTTAAAAGTTCAAAAAGAATTGAGTTTGAAATTTGAATTGGGTTCTATGTTGCAATCTATTGTTTTATGAAGTTGATATCGATTTACACTTGTGTTAGGGTTGATGATTTTTTTTTTTGCGTAAGTATGTTAGGTTGATGATTGTTATTGAACTTCACTAATAGTGATTTTTGAATGCTAGAATATCATTATTTATAATTTTGATGTTGCTGTTCGGCAAAGATAGTTGTCAATATGAATTGATGTAAAAGTAATTATATAAATATCCTTTTTTGATGCTACACTTTGGTTGTTCTTATGACTGCAGGATCAAAAATAGGGGATTTGTTTTACATTTTTTTTTTTTTACTGGTAGGGTGTGATACCCCATTGTTTGTTGTAGTTGGGTATAAAACAATGTTTAAAGAATTCAGTTAGTGTTAAGTTTTAGAGATTGGTTGATACCTATGTTATATGGACTCAGGTACGGGTGTCGGGTGCGGGTATGTATCTAGAGGTCGGACTCATCAAATCATAAATTTAAGGATACACGGACTCGGCAAAAAAATGTCATATTTTTATATTTTTAATCTAATATGTGAGATAAAATGGTATTATATTTAACTTATAGTGTCAAAATGACATTTATAGCAATTATACAACAATATGTACATATGATAATAGTGTTATATACAATTATATAAGAAATATTCGTTGAAAAGTATCCGACACATATCCCATACCCTTGTCCGAGTGTCGGGTGTCCGACACGGATATTTGATTTATTTTGAAGAGTCCATGTAACATAGGTTGATACCATTAAAAATTTTCAATGTTGGCATTAGCATCCTTTGCTATTCATTATGGCCATCTTTTGCTATTCATTAGCATCCTTTTGCTATTCAATCCATTCACCCAATGAAAACTAGGAATTTTTTTTTTTTTTTTAAATTTATATTTGCAATTTTATGTATTCTGATTCTGATAAATGATTAAAGTCTCATCCCAAACTCGCACAAGAAGTCTTAAACATAACCATTTTTTCTTAAATAGAAGTTTGCACTATTGATTTCAGTTAGTTAGGTGTAGTTTATTGTATTAAAATTTTACTATTTTCGTTGCAATGTTTGACGTGAAAATATTGAAGAAAATCAACAATAGAAGGTAAATCTTATTAATATTGACCTAGAGCCTATTATAAAATTTAATACACGTAATGAATCATGTTTCTAGGTTTCATGAGGTCTGTGAAAAAGACATTGAAAACATCCAAATAAATTACGTATGTTGATTTTTCGGAGTTTGCTAATTATTACCCTACAATAATGAATTCCTTGCTCATTGCCCATTACTTTTCATACCATGAGGTGAGGGTGACTATTAGTCTGACCGTTATTTTGATAGAAATCCGTGCTGAGAGCTAGAAAATTTTAAGGTAAGATTATATATACACGTGTGTGTTTGGGATGGGGAAGATTGAGTACACACCTAACCTTTGGTGTAATACACAAAGTAATGGTCTTAAGACTTGAACCTATAACCACAAAGTTATTAGGCCAAGTCTTAACCATTGAACCAATGGTCTCCCCTTAATGTGTATTAATTGGGCGTTGTTTTTATTATATACACACACACACGTATATATATATCTTTGCCTAATTTGTACATTTATTTATTTATTTTGTTTCCTTTAATAGACTTGTGCTAAAAGTAGAAAGTTCTGTGATAAAAAAATTTCTCTTTGATAAAACGCGATTATTTTTTTGATGGTCCAATTATTGTTATTTCGTGCAGTTAGGGTTTGAAAAGAAAAACTTAACATGAACAAATGTGCTTAAGACTAATTTATGTTTAGATATAATTCCTTGTGATTATTCTATCTAGCTTTGGTTTGAAACTAGATGAATTTAAGTTGAAATTTGATTTTATAAAGCTAAGAATGGATATTGTATGTATGGCTTATGAGAGAGTTCCCTTTTGCATGATCAGGCTTGTCTGAGGGTGTGTATCCCGAATTGGAAACTCATAACTACAGAATGAGCACCAGGGGATTAAGGGCACCTGCTCTAAGAGGGTATGTGAGGAACACAAGGAGGAGGAAGATGGTACTAGATGTAGACCTCAATGTGCCACCTATTGAGAATCGAGATCAGGAGGGCACTTCAGCTCATGCCAACTCTCAGGATATGGAGCCTGGCCAACAAGGAGGACCGGTACCACCTGCACCAATTGATGTCGATGACTTGGATGATGATGTTGTTATATCCACCTCCAGGGCCTTTGCAGAAGTATGCTTCTTTTATTTTCTAAGTTCTTTTTGTATCAGGAGACTATAACTGTAAGGGTTCACTCATATTTCTATTAACTGTCCATTAGTTGTATCTTCTCAATCTCTTGTCAGGCTAAAAACAATTCCAGAAGAAATCGTGGAAGCACCATTGTAGTTGATGTTGATTCAGGTGATTTGTTTTTGTTTACTTTCCCTGTTTATAGTAATGTGTATGTTTGTGTGTTTGTGCTTTGGTTTCTGTTTAACTCTCTCTCTCTCTCTCTCACACACACACATACACACATGATGTTATGCTATGTATAGCCTATCTGATCCTGTTTCCCCATTATTCTCTGGTGGCATTCTTATTCATGGTGTCTTCAGCTCAAAGTGAATATGTTTCAGTTGTACATTTTAGATGGGCTCGTACTGTTTGGATGAAGCTATGTGGATTTGGATGTTAAATTGATATTAAAAACTTGAAATATTATGTCAGTTTTAAAAAGTTAGATGCCCGTGTCTTTTATTTCTTGGGTAGATGACCTTTTTAAATATAGAGGCTTTTGCTTGATGAATACTTGCAACCAAACACACACACACAGAGTTCAAAGGAAAGGTAAAATGATTAGCGAACTTTTGTTTTCTCTTGAAAGAAGGCAATATACACCTTACATTTATTCTCCTCGTTATACAACCTACATGGATATGAAACTTCAATTAATGGACAACATGTTGCCAACTTAGACCATCTTGACCATCTTGACAGAGCATTCCATTCTGAGAGCCCATTATTGCTCGTATTTATTTTTGTTTTCAAAAAAGTAAGATGGTTTCATGAGGTTAATGATTAATGATTATTTAGTGTGAGGATTTTCTAGACCTGTTCGGATTCCAACACAGCCATGTCTTTGCGGTGTATAGATTACCATCTTGGTGTCCTTTTGGGGGGAGTTGGGCATAATTGATTATGAGATAGGGCTCGTTGATGGTATAAATTGTGTTACATGGACTTGAATACGAGCGTGAGGTGCAGGGTGGTGTGTGGACCCATCTTGTCTCCTCAACTCAAGACGTGGGGGTAGAATCCAGTGTCCAACATTTTTAATGGATTTTCTGAAATTATATTAAACTTAGATGGACTAATTCTCAAAGAAATACTAACAGTCGATCTATGTGATGAACATGATAAAATATTTTTTAAAAAATAATTTTTATAAATTTTAGTTAAGTTATTTATGTGTATATTTATATGTACATAGATATACATCATTTTAAAATGTATATTGCAATTTATACAATGCGGGTTAATAATTTTAGTATTTTGTGCTATAAAGTATAACATAAATAAATATATGTGATAATTTTAGTTAAATTATTTATATGTATGTCTATTTGTACATACATATACAATTATTTTTTAGAAATATGTTGTGGCATGCAATCCATGAGAATAATTTTATCCCTATGGTGCTATGAATTTCTTACTTAAATAAATGTGTTAAATTATAAAATTTTATAGTGGACAATCACTTTGATAGTAGAGATAATGGTTAAATTAGTTAGGGAATTAGTAAATTAAAATAAGAGTAATTGTAATTATTTATTTTATTTTATTTATCTATTTTGCAATTAAATATATTCAAAAAGTGAAACTCATATGAAAAATCATTTAAAAAAGTTGAATACGAAATATGTTGCAATCTATGTATAACTCGAAAGAAAAATATTGGACGTTGTGTTTATAGAAAACGTAACTTAAATAAATATGTATGTAGGGGCAGAGCTAGGAATCTACTATTGGGGGGCCAAAAGCTAAGGCATTGGGCAAATCCAAATGATTGGGTGAAAATAGGTTTGAACAACTTAAATATATATTAAAATAAATCACTAGTAAATGTAAGCTAATAAATAAGAACACGTTAAATAAGTTCTAAGAACTTGAACTTAAATGATTCACCATTAGAAAAATACAAATTTGAAATTCACCTAATTACATGAATGGTAATACACTATAGATCATGCAGTGTACACAAATTTTTGAAGTTGTCTTATAGTAATAAGCTGTGTTACACGGACTCTTCTATTTCCCCCACAATACCCGTGTCCACCGGATATGACATTGGTAAGGGTGTGGGATATGTGTCCGACGCTCGTACCCAATTTAGACATTCATATCCTTTAATTTGTGACAATACATGAAGAAGAAGAAATTCATTTTTGTTAGTAAAGCAATATTTTTAGGCTCCCACATGAATTAGATATAGAAATTTTATATTTTTTCTGAATCATATTTAATTTCTAATATATTTCTACATAATTTAAAACATCTCATCTGAGAATATTATATAATATGCAATATATATGTATATATGACGTGTCCCCGTACCCATATCCAATTTTGGATATGTATCTCAAGATCCTAAGATTTAAATTTATGAAGGTCTGACGCTTGGATATACATCCGCACCCGACACTCGTATCCGAGTCCATGTAACATAGGTAATAAGTGAAAGGAAAATGATTGAGACTTCTAAAAGAACTCCCCCAATTTGACCCACAAATGATGTGGCATGATAGGTGTCAACTTTTAATTTGTCATACACTCAATCATACAGGACCCCACTACCTTATCACATCGTTGGGATGAATTTAGGAGTCTAAATTGTGGGTCTCTAGCATTTCTCTTAGTGAAATATGAAAATAGTTGAGTGAAGGGAAAAAATTATGGTACACACCCCTAAACGGTAGATATTGACACTGTATGACCCTTCCAAAATTATAGCACAATGATTCATAACAAAATCAAATTCATAACTTTTTTTTGCCATAGTAGTTCCTGACGTTTTAATGTTAATAACATAACCATAATTGTTTGTAACTAAATTTCTTTTATGGTGCACCTTTAATAACATTATACAATAATCCATAACTAACACCACAAAAACTCATAGGTCGTGTTTGGTTTGTATTTGTGAAGCAATTTTGAAAAATAATTTTCTAGAAAGAGTTCACAAAATTTGAAAATTTGTTTGGTTGTATGTTTTGAAAATAGTTTTGGAGTTTCGGAGTTTGGGATGATTTAATTTTTTTTTATAGTTGGATAGATGATTGTGAGAGAAAAAGTGATTGATTGGCGTGTATGATGTGAGAGAAAGAGAGAGGAGAGAGAAAAAATGATTGATTGATGTGTAGTAGAGAGAAAAGTGATTTTGAATTTATTTTTCAAAAATTTTCTACCAAACAATTTTTTGAAATTTTTTCTCAAAAATTGTCTCTCAAGAGACAAACCAAACAAGGCCATAATTTCTCATGTTAAGGAGGTCTGCACCATAGCATTCCTATAAATGAAAGAAAGAAAGAGTAAAGAGGGAAAACAGGGTCGGGGAAACCCGATCCCCGTTGGGGACGGGGGTGGGGGGAGTGATGAGTTCCCCGTCGGGGATCGGGGCCGGGGACGGGGATTTTTGTAGTTTCGGGGATCGGGGACGGAGAGGGTGATCCCCGGCCCCGCCCCGCCCCGTTGCCATTCCTAAGTGAGGGAAGGAAAGAGAAATAATTAAATATTTTTTTAAAAAAATGAAATATTCATTGAGAATAACTATGTGTACTTAAATATGTCATGTGAATAAAAATTTTAGAAACTTAGTGGGGGCCAAGTGTAATAAGGTGTGTAAATACTATAATTTTATACACGCCATAATTCTAACACTTGTAACAAATCAAACCCTACGTTTTGAGTTTCTTCAATATAAACCCTAATGTTTCAAGTTAATCTCAATTTGACCTATCTATCAATTTTCATTTAACACAAATGGAGAGAGGTAAATTCATGAATTTACTCACCATACATTTATATTATATACATAAGCACATACATATCTACACTTTTTAATTAATTTTTCATATTGATCTTTCCTCAATAATAATCCAAAGACTAACAAACTTCTAATTATATTCATCATAAATACAAATTGTGAATAAGATCACATATATATATATATGAATAGTGTGTATATATATGATGGGTTTATAGAGAACTTGTAGTATCTCAGCTTCCACTCACAATCGACTCAATCTAGTCATTATGTCCAAGTGGTTGGTTTGGGTGCCGATCATTGTGACCCAAATGATGTGGGCCCTTGTAATGTTGATGTGCACCTCTCTCTTCACTGCCTATATATATATGTTTATGAAGTAATTAGATTTAAAAAAATTAGAGTTCTTCTAATCATCACTATTTCTTTTTGGGATTTGGGAAGAAAATTAAACCAAATGATCTCTCTGTATCTCTCTCTAAAACTTGAGAATTTAGTTACTAAAAGGTCGGACTTGGTTTGTAAATGGAAAATCAGGCCACCTATTGCCACTACCACCCAAACAACTCGAATCACCACCACCTTGAACACCCAAAAAGCTCTTTGAAAACTACTCTGCAACTCCGCATGTGGGTTTCGCATCACATTCGCCTCCAAATTCGAACTTAAGTTCTTCTAAATTTCTCAATTGAATCATCGATCCATGCTGCCCAAAATCTCTCAATTGAATCGTCGATCCATGCTGCCCTAAATCTCTCCGAATTCAAACTCTTGATCAAATTACCAAACTGCCCACTTGACGCTAGAAGCGAGTTGAAACTCCGGTTAATGTCCAACATCTGATGCTCCTTATGGAATGCTGCCACAGAGAATTGTACTTGGCGAAGTGTTTTGATTTTGTGTGGCGAATTGGATGGTGGTGGAAGACAATAGCGATGAGGATGAAGATGACAATGAAGAGCAGTTAGCGTTCAAATTGCACTTTGTGTTCTTGCGACTTCCACTGCCAACGGGGATGTTTCGAAGAGCCCCGACTTTGGTCTTCCAATACCTCCGACAGTACTTGCAGAAGTGGTGTGGCGTGACATTGTTGACAAGAGAAAGGGAGAAGAGGCAATGCTGTGAGGGAAGGGGAAAGGAGAGGAGGTGGTGGAAGGGAGAAGGGGGAGGAGTGGTTCTGCAGTGGCAAGGCGGATGGCGGTGGAGAAGGTAGCGGGTGGCTGTCGGTGAAGGGAAATGAAAGAGGAATTTGGTGAAGACAAAGCATACTGACAATGGGTAAAATGAAGGGGAGAGACGGACAAATCAAGTGTAATGAGGTCTAGGATTAGTTATTAAGGTAGTTGTAATTAAGAGTGATTAAAATAAAGTTAAGATTAACATAAAATTGAATGAGCGAATGAAATGTTGACACATGTTGTAAATTTATTTTTTTAGGTGTGTCAAATTGAAATTTACGATAGTCCAAATTGAGATCAATTGGAAACATTAGGGTTTAAATTGAAGAATTCAAAACACAGGGTTTAATTTGTTACAAGCATTAAACTTTGGATTTTTTTGATAATTTTCCCAAAAATTAATATTTATGAACTCATGTAATTTATTAGTTGACAAATTAATGTTTAAATACAAATTAAATATATAAAGAACATATCCGTGGTATGGGAACTATTAAAAAATCAAAATATAAAATGTTCAAAATAAAATAAATGATTTTAATTTGATTGATGGTTGGATTGTGAAGAAAATTGCTAGACTAAGGGTATGCTGTTCTAGTAAGTTGCCAAACAACCCGTGATTGATGTAGGATTCTTTGTTATTGGTTATATATTATATTAGAAATTTATTTAAATAAAGAACTTAATTTGATAATAAGTCAATAAGGTGGGCCAACTTTGATCCCCTTATGATGTGGTATCTCGTGTGGGCCTTGAGTTCTTGAGGGCCCTAGGTAAGCTTTAAAAATGGGGCCATTTAGGCATAATTATTAAAAATAAAAAATAAAAAATAAAAATAGTTATGAATAAAATGATTTAAGTACTTATAATTATTTTATTTTATATTTGCTAGTACCCCTAAAAAGTCTGTTTGTGTATATATTCACTAATCACTAATCAAACCAAGCCTTATGTCCCATCAAATGGATCGACTACATGAATCATTTTTCTCCATTCAACTCTATTATATAATCACTAAACTTATATAATAAAATTTAGTTACATAGATCATGCCTTATTACAAAATTCCTAAAGATAAATTATGATTTTGTTACTTTATAGTTTAATAATATCCACTTTACAAGAACAAAAAATATTTTACTATATCTGAAGTTAAAATACCAAATAAAAAAGAATCAACTGTAGCAACCAAATATTACTCCTCTTGCATTTTTAGATGTAAAATTTCTAATTAAGCTTGTATAATATGACTTGTCTACTAATAATTTTTAGTGGATAATATGGTTAATACGTTATCTTTTTTGTGTCACTGTTGTTGACCAAAGTAAGATTTAATCACTTTCAATTTGAGAAACTTTTTTGTCCCAAGACAACTGTAAATGCTATAGTTATCCATGCATTTGGGAAATAATCATCCATTGCTTTCAAATAATTTACTGCTTCAATTCGCTCTTCGGTGTTTGGGACCCAAGGTGGTTGCCTTCCTCGCCTTTGCTTAGGGCCGGCAATTGTTTTTTTATTTTTTTATTATTGTTATATACAAAAATATAAGACTATATAGATTGCCAAGTAGATGCCACATAGGAGAGAAGAAAAAAAAAATCATGGTAAACACTACTTTTAATATTATATATATGATGTGAATGGAAATAGTGAAGAGGCAATGTTTTGGGCCTTCTATGAATATTGTAAAAAAGTAGGGACCATCTAAAGAGGCAATGTTTTGGGCCTTTTATGAATATTGTAAAAAAGTAGGGACCATTTGTAGAGCTATAAATATACATTTCAATAGCCTTGTGCTCATCGAGATTTTTCATCTCTCTTATTCGAGAAAGTTCACAAAAACCCTAGATCTGGGTTGCATCCATGTCTCCACCTGTTCGGCGATTTGATCCAGATCCAACAACAGAAGATACAGGTTAACAGAATGTCCTTTCTTTATTTGCTTCGCCTTGCTTTTCATCTCTCTTATTTGAGAAAGTTCCCAAAAAATCTAGATACTCGTTTGCTTGTATATTTCATAAGAAGTCATTAGCCTTCTGATAATTGCAGTATAGTGTTTGCAGTAAAGTGGGTTGTTGCTCATTTTGCCATTGATTTAATTAGCTGACTCTATGTTGTATTCGAAATTATTGGCATAGTTGGCTTGTGTTTCTTGTTTTCCTCATTTTTAGTACTGATATGGGGTTAGCATTGCAGAAGAAAGGATGTCTAGGGTTGCTTCCAACACTCGCAACAAGCGTAGAAGAGTGAATACAAATCAAACAATAATAAATTGTGACCTTTACATTAACCTGGAGGGTACTAGCAACTCTATGGTAAGAATTGAGCTTTCGTTATGCACTAGATGTTGTCCATTTTGCCTTTTATGTTTCTATCCTAGACTGGTATATCAACTTGTTGAAATTGTATTAATTGTTTTCTTATTTTGCTGGGTTCTGTGACAACTGGCCGAGTACCTTCTATCTACTGATGCTTATTATATAGGCAAACAATCACAATAAGATATCTCTCTTCAAGTCAAGCAATCATAAATTGTGACCATTAAATAAATTAGGAGGAGAGTAGCAACTCTACAGTAATAATTGAGATTTTGTTATGTTGCACATGATGTGTATCTCCCTTCTCTGTTTTATATTTTAGACTATGAAGCATGGGTACTTAGAAGAACATGACGTACCTTACCGGCGTATGGTATATCGTATGGTACTTCTGCATACGTATCGGGTACACGAAACACATATTCAAATTTTTTCTTCTTAATTTTTGGCGTACTCAGACATACCTAGTATATACCCAAGCCGTGTCATACCTCCGTTGAAACAATATTTTTTTCTACTGCAGAAATAAAACTCCTTTCACTAGACTTTTTTTTTTTTTTAAAAGTTTTATACTTGGCATGATTTTAAAATTAAACTATGGTTTGTAAGTTATTTAATATATTGACATTTAATTTTGATTTATACCTTTAATTTTGGCATTAAATGTTAATTATAGGTTGGATCTTAACAAATTAAACCATTTAATTAATTTTTGTATTACTCTAAATTAAAAATAAATGTTTTTTTACAAGCGTACCAAGCCGTACCCGTACCCTTTTTTTTTGATTTTACCGTATCGACGTACCAGTACCAATACCTATACCCGTACCCGTGCTTCATAGGTTTTAGATTACCAATTTGTTGGAGTTTTATGTTTTTTCTCTTTCTTATTTTTTCTGTTTTTTGCAATAACTGGCTGAGCCTGAGTAACCTCTTTTTGATGATGCACATAAATATTGGTAATTTCGGAGTTGAGGCATGCCAAGCAGTAGTTCCTACATAGCATCATATTTATGGATATGGGATGTGTTTGGTGTGCCTATTGGCTAGCAGGGATGGTTTCTTGTGCATTGTTGGATGGAGGGATGAATGGAGGGAGATAAGGGGAGAAGGAAAAGGGTGAGGATGGAGCAGGTTTCATCCCCTGTCAGAAAGCGATGTAGCATAGGATTTTCACCAGTACAATTATTTGCATTTTCTTCTCTAGGATATTTTTTTATTTTTTTTATTTTAAATTGTAATCTACTCTCTGATTATTTCTTACTTACCTTGGGATGTGGTGGTTGTCATATCAAGTCTTATGAAAGTTAGAATAAAAGGGGAACCATTCCTGTTTTAAAATATTTAATTAAAGTTGATCCGTAGGCCCCTGGGATTTGATTCTTAAGGATATTATATTAGGTGTTGTGCTTCTCTTTAAATGGTTACACGTTGGGTTTGTATCTTCTTTAAAAAACTTTATGCTTCACAGTAGTGGTCTGACAGGAGGGTCTTGATCTTGAGGGTTTGTACCTATTTCCTCTAACAAAAAACCTAGATTTATTTTATTCTTCCTTTTTTTCTTTTTTTTTTTAAAAAAAAAATATGTTTGAAGAAAAGCAGAGCTGCTGCTGTTTGCGTTTCTTTCTCTCTCTCGCTTCTCTTGCTTAACTTCTTCTTATAGTCTTGTTGTGGACACATGTTAAGCAGTTTCTTGCACATCTATATGCTGTCCAGGGATCAATAGGGTTGGGAGAATGCGTAGCGCTCTCCCTCTTGGTGAGTTATTACTTTTCTGATTCTCCTTTGCTTTTTATCTCCTCCCAATCTATTTGATTTCGACCATTCTTGTCCACACATCATCTTGCTGGCTGCTCACTTTATTCCCTCTTGTCCCCCCCCGCTCTCTCTCTCTCTCTCTCTCTCCCCTCCCTATTTTGAAAACCATTTACATCCCTTCACCTTAATGTCATTGCCCTTGCAGTGGGTTTTTAAACCTTTCCAACCTTAATGTAAATGTTTGCTTGTCATACGGCTTTTTTTCCCTAATTCATTTTTTTGGTTATTACTTGTGAACTGTTCTGAAAATTTGGGAGCTGAGTTATGAAATTTGTAGGACTTTGAGAGTTTGGTTTATTGCTGGTCTAAAGCTGTTTCAGCTTGTTACCTTTGCTTTAATGCTTGATTGTTTGTGTTGTAGGTGATTAGATGATTAATTATCAGCTATGGACCTGATATTACTTGTACATTTGTTTTTTTGTTGCCAAGGTTTTCCGTAGAAAGATTAGAACTCTAGAAAAACCTACATTGCATTAGAAAGGAAAGATTAGAACACTAGAAAACCCTACACACTTGCCTTGTAAAATAACACCCTTTTGTTAATAAATTAAAGGGTAAATGGTAAAGAGACAAGTAGAAGATGGTGGTCTCCCTTAATTAGTAGGCTTTTTTGTGCTTTTGACTTTCATTCCTTCTAATTTTGTCTGTCCTACCAAATGGACATTGCATTTTTTAGTTAATTATAAGTTCTACCCAAACAACATCTTAACTTTCATCCCTCAGATCGACGGACAAATTCAATGTCTACTAGTCACCCATGCATGCAAGTTACAGTAGTCTCTGTTGCACTATGAAGCACGGACACCTCTCCGAGGGCTCTGTACCAGTGTCGGACACAGACACACGTCGGACACACGGTGGACACGTGTTCGACACGCAACAGAGAGTGTCCCAATTTTTTTAAAATTTTTTTTTGCAACCGGGCACGTTCTAGACATGTTCGGACACTTTTGGGACACGTTTGGGGTCAATTTCATCATTTATGAAACTTCTGTGGGTCGATTTGTAAAAAAATAAAAACAAAACAATATCTGCCCTAAATCGAACATAAGAGAAAGAGAGAACAGAAGAACAGAAGAGAAAGAGAGAAGACCTGGTCGCCCGTCGCCTGTCGCTCGTCGTCGCTCGTTGGCATACACCTTCGCTGCTCTTCTTTCATGACCTTCGCTGCTCTTTTTTCTTCGTTCTTCTCCGTTCTTCGATCTTCTTCTTCTTCTTCTCCGATCATCTCGCTCGTTTTTTGTCTCTCTTCTCCTTTGAGTTCAACTTTTATTTTATTTTTTCTTTTATATGGTCACTGGTCAGTCACTCTCTCTCTCTCTCTTCTAATTTTTTTTTTCTAATTTCATTTTATATTTTCTTTTTTCCCTCTGTGCCTATATTATTTAAGTATATAATTTTTTTTGTGTTAATTAGTTTTGGTAATTTTAATAATGTGTGTTTATTATTTGTATTTTTTGTTACCTTTTAATGATTTTTTTTTAATAATTTTATGACATATAATAAATAAAATTAATGACATATATATTGAATGTGTCCCCAGCGTGTCGTGTCCCCCATTTTTGAAAATTTGCGTGTCTCCGTGTCCGTGTTCGTGTCCGTATTGTGTCGCGTGTCCGTGTCCGTGCTTCATAGCTGCTGCATTTAATTCTTTTCATAGAACCTTGCAATGTGCAAAGTGCTGCCTGGACAACATGGACTTGCTGCACTACTAGAGCTTTGTATTAAAACAAGGCAAAACATATATTATTTATTATATACTTTGCATTTTTCTTTGTAAACATCAAGTATTAATTACAAACTATTAAGTCATAAAAAATAACAATTCTTTAATTAAATGTATGATGTTTTTTAAAATTAAAATACTCTCTTTGAAGGCGCTCCCAGTCTGAAGATATTTTCCCAAAGGATGTTTTCGCACCCTTGCTCCTGCTCCTGCTCCTGCTCCTGCGTCCTACCTGATGGAGCATCAAGAATGTGAATATATTTTAATTCACTATGTGGATAAATATCCAATAAACACAACATTTCTTCGTTTCCAAGATGCATGGACAGGACCTGTTTGACAACTACATAAATAGCTGACATCCATTACGGAAAAATATCAGTGTGACTGGCAGGGTTTACTTGCTCTAGTAATCATGCTGCATCAGACCAATTTGGGCATTTGGCAGTCACACTTGATGCTTGTCCCTTTGTGTATAAACTGTGCTTTTATTTTCAGCTTATCCATATCTGATTTAAGAAGTTTACTGAGTGTGTTACTGTCATATGACTAGAAAACTTTCTAGTACTTTTTTTACTTTTGCACTTTGCATGGTGTTGCTTATATATATCTATATATTTTCTATGGATAAAGTAATTCACTGAAAGCTGTTTATGGGGTTGTAACCCATGTACGTGGACAGTTGTTTTTATTTATGGCCATTAAGATTGTTTCTTATATACAAATGGCAGAAAGAGAATGTTCAGTGTGTGAAACCATCCCCACCACCACCCAAGGAACCCACATTCAACTGTCCCGTATGCATGGGCCCATTGGTTGAAGAGATGTCGACCAAGTGTGGCCATATTTTCTGTAAGACCTGCATCAAGGCTGCAATAGCTGCACAGGGTAAATGTCCTACTTGTCGGAGAAAAGTCACCACCATGAAAGAGACCATTCGTATCTATCTTCCTAGAGCCAATTGAGCAAGGTGTGTCCTCATTTATATTTTCATGTTGCTCTGTTGCTTCACATAATCTATTTAAATGATAGCTTTTGTGCATGGGCTGGGGAGTAAAAAAACTCATGTTTGAAGGTATCTTGATCTGATGAGAAGGAAAGGAATTTATGTGAAGTTTGTAATGTTATAAAGTTATTTGATAACATAACAATTTTCAAAGAGTATGCAATTATGAAGTATTAGATATGTGGGGGAAATCACGGGAAAAAAAAAAAAAAAAAAAAACCTCCTAGAGTTTGACCCTTATAATGAAATAAACCCTAAGTTATAATTTTGTCAAGTTGAAGCCTAATTTTTTTATTTGTTTTTAATTTAAACCATTTGCCTATTTTAATTAAGTAAAACTGATAGAAAAAAGGATACTTTTTTCCATTAAACTCAATGTAGGTGTACATAAAATGTCTTAAATACCATTTTCCGTTGAGTTTAATGGCTAAAATATTATTATTTTTTCGTCGATTTTACTTGACGAAAATATATAGATGGTTTAGATTCAAAACAAATCAAAATGTTAGGATTTAAATTAACAAAATTAAAAACTCAGGGTTTGTTTTGTTGTAAGGGTCCAACTCTGGGGTTCTTTCTGTAATTTTCCCTATATGTCCAATTGACAGTCTACATTGCTAGTCAGCATAGAATTTGGAAACTATATTTGACAACTTTCTATTTAGTGATGAGACAATGGATTGATCTGTAGAAATTCACTAGACAAATAAATATGGTGTATGTAATCCCTTGTAGAAACAAGTATGTTATTGAAGTAGACTTGTGTGTTGCAGTCTCATTTCTTAGCAATCAATCTTTTAGATGGGTTGGTGGTTAACAATTCAAAAAGTTGATTACAAGAATACCAGTTGCAAGTTTTATGGATTATTGTTATTATATATATATATTTTTTTTACATAAAATGGAGCATTCTGTATGTATTTCAGGTAATGGTAACCATCAAAATGAATTATGTTTTTTCTTCGATGTTATACAGTACTAGTCAATTTGACATTAAGCGTTAGTTTGGGAGGCGGCTTTTTTAGCTGCTTTTTGGCTAAAATATGAGGTGAGAAAAATTGGAGTGTTTGGGAATGACTTTTGGCTTTTTATAGAAAAATGTGCAAAATGTAGAGAGAATGGCAAAGAATCTTTGACTGTTTTGTATGAGTTGAAAACTTTTTAGCTTTTTGGCTAAAATCCTTTCCATGCCAAACGGACTCTTAAGAATGAAGTACTGATCACTTTATGTATGCTTATGACTGCCAGCTTTGCCATTTAAAGGTTGAGATAAAAGTATTTATGGACTAGGTGTAATCTTATTAGAGATTTTATTTGTAGAAGCAATATGTTGAACTTTTGGGAGTACAGTCTGGGCTTGTGATGCACTTCATTGGCTTAACCATTGGCATGTTTGTTTCATTCCAGCAGACTTGAGACATTTTAATCTCTTATGCTGTGCGGAACTATATTGTATGTCTTCTCCATGTTTTCACGAGCTTCTGCGTTTTTTGCTTTCAAGTATGTGTTTACACATTTTATGTGCTTTGTGATCCGCGGTAAATGCGGTCATGGTTTCTTATTACTTATTTTTTATTTTAGTGGGTAAATTAAAATTCTGTTTTTCTTACACACTTGTATGTTTTCTAGTGTTGAGCAGGAAGGTGCATACAGACTGTTTTGCAGCATTGTGAGGGAATCAAACATTGGTTTGGGACATTGTTATCTTTAGAGTTATAAACTGTAAGTTTTAAGTTAAAATGACATTGGGTTTTGGTCTGAAACCAGTACTTTTGGTCAATGGAGACATTGGGTGGTTGTTTTAGATTGCTGTAATGTCCAATTTTCTATACATCTAAAGCAAGATAAGTTAGTAAAAATCTCCGTTGAAAAAAGAAAAAAGAGAAAAAAAAATTGGCCAGCTGAGATGGGAGTACAATGGAAGCCCATTTGATGGGCTATATATACGGTCCTTCCATTATGCTTATCCTTTAACATTTGGTCTCATGGCTCAGCACAAGTCCTGGACTCAACGGCCAGATGACAACTAATGTCATGGCTTGTATTGGTTGAAAAATCTTTCAGTTTGCAATCCCCAAGGGGTTGGCCTGGGCCAATGTCCAAGGATCGAAACCTTTAGGTGCTAATAATTCCTTGGGGTCATCGGACTGGTGAAAAATCCTTGAATTAATCGTGGTGCACTTGCGGGAAATTCTTTGTTGAGGGCTTGTACACTCTTGGGGATCAGTCGGGCTTTGACCTGGACACCCTAGTGCCAAAAAAAAAAAAATCCAGTTTGCACCTGTTTACATGTATAAGAATCTGATTGCTGATCTGCTGTATGCTGCCATTGTTTCCAATGTATACACGCAACAACCTGACACCCTATACTTTAAACTTGTTCTCAGCCTGACTTGCTATCACGTGGCAATAGGCTAGGCTAATACCCTAAACACTGTCACCAATCACATTTTCATCAGACCACTAGTTTGTGGCGGCCTCAACTTGTATCACAACCGTTACCTCAGTAATCTAGATGCAACACCTCTGGCATTGATTTGCTCTTCTAACTGTTAAAGTGTTGTGCACGCTTTTGTGGATACTGGAGCAATGTTGTGCATGATATCTTGGATTATATCGTGTGAGGTGTGGGGATATGGTGTGGTGTGGTGTTGTGTTGTGACTCCGACCTCTCTTGGTTTTCCCTGGACTGGGTCCAGGTGTGACTTCTGTCTGTTTAATTGTGGTTGCTTGTCTTAAGGCTATAGACCTATCTGCATGCACTTCATTTGTTGTACTGAGTAGTTTAGAGGAGCCCTGGTGATCCACCATGATGTTGATGCCAACCTTTCTTGGATTTCCTTATGGGTGGTGATCCGACTTGGTATTTGATGCCAACCCTTTTCCTGGGTTTTCTTCAACACCAACACTGAGATTTGGGGATCTGGCATGGTGTGGTGTGGTATCGGGACACTAATCGCATGAAGTTTGGTGATCTGTGGTGGTGCCATGCATGATCTCCTCGATTTAATTGGTCAATGGTGATCTGGTGTTTATTGTGCACAATCTTTTGAATTTTGTTGCACACACCAATGGCATGATCTCCTGTATAACTTCCAGGACACCAACGGTGTGTCACTCACGCCAGTGCTTTACCCCCATTGGTGGTGCAGGTCAGCTAATTCTTGACCTTTTTTTTTTTTTCTTTTTTTGTTTTATAAATTGAAAAATGAGACAGTTAAGGATAATGTGCAATAGATTTTCCACTGCAAGATGCCGGTATGAGAGGCTTATTTGGGTTTGGATGAACCCAGATACCAACAAAGCAGTGTCTATATATGCAGTAGTGGCCGAAAGATCTTTTGAGGTGGGAAAGATTCAAAATGAGGCTCATCTTATTAGGTCTTTAGGGCCTGTTTGTTTTAAGAGGTAGGGTGGGTAGGATTGTTAGTAAATGGATTATTAATAAGAGGACGGCTAGTAAGGGGATTAAGAAAAAATGTGTTTGTTTGATAATCAGTGAATTAGCAATAATTCATGTTTGTTGAGTGATAGGAGTGAGATTAACCGCATAAAATTTCACTAATAACCTTGTTTCATTTATTAAATTTGGGTTTATATCAACTAATAAATGCATTACATGTTTTAATATTAAAAATTATATTTCATAAATAAATATTTTTTTGTTACTATTTTATTTTTTTAATATAGTCTTTTTTGGTATAAATATTATTATACTATTATATTTTTATATTAAATTATTTTTATATAAAGAATGGTGGAGTAAAAAATGGTGGAATAATTAAAAAAATGATAGAGAAAAGACCATAGTAATCAAGTAGAGCAAGTAAATTAGGTAGGATAATAAAGGGTAAAATAGTAAATCCTCCTCTAATATTAAGGGATTGTTTTTCTAATGAGTGTTGTTATTAGCATCTCATCAATTATTTTGGACCTTCCATTTCTTTGGACCTTCGCTTACAAATTTCAAGACTTTTAAAATTTCTTCTCTTTCCAAATAATATTAAAATTATCTTTGTGAAAATATTTCACCCATTCAATTGAATGCACACCGTTATCCCCCCACACTCCTAAAAAGTTTCTCCCAAAAACTCTAACAAAACTCACGAAGGTGATTACTATTTCATCTCTACATATTTGTTTAAGACTTGAGAAAATAAATGTTAGGTTTTTTTTGTTGTTGATTTAAAATTATCATTTGTGGGTTTTGCGATCTCCACGAATTTCGGTTATCTGTTCTTAAACAAATAAGAAATGTTTGGTTACCTGTTCTCGAAAAAATGAACAATGTTCGGGTTTGTGTTTCCAAATTTTGATCATATGTTTTGGAAGTTCAGTCCCCAAAAAATAACAAACAATTTTATTATTTGTCATTTTTTTCAAGAAACTCACATTTATAAGGTCAATCTCTTCGTCTCATAGAGTTGTGATTATCAGAAAAACTTCAACTCATTGTTATTACTAGAGAAGTGTAGGTAATCAAATGGTTGCCATCGTTACTGTCGGAATACTACCGCCAAAGGGTTTTCAAAATTTTGAGGGTGGGTAGGTTTTGAAAGTGGGATTTGAAGAAGAGAGATGAGTGTTGATGGATATGGGTGCTCTCACAAACTCTAACTCATGATGTAGTGGGTCTGTAGACTTAATTGTGAAATATGGCGTCTCAAAATATCATTTTTAGTAATTTCATTTGATACTATTATTATAATAAAAAAGAAGCTAAAAAATGAGGGGTCCAAAATAATTGATGGAGTGCTAATAACAATACTTTTTCTAATACCATCTTCTATGGGGATTACTAATTCTATCCATCAAGATTTATCATAATCCTAAGGTATTGTGAACCTCCTCCTCCATTTTACAAACAAACACAATATTGGTGGATTCTACATTCATCCTAATTTAATCTCATCTCCTATAACACAAAACAAATGGACCCTTGGATACTTAGGGCCTTCGGCAAAAAGTTTTTTTGGGAGAATTTTTGGGCAGGCATTAGGCAAATGGGTTAGACTCACCAGCTGGGAAAAATATTGAGCAACACTTGCTGGTCTAGTGTCAAAATAGTTCACTAAAAAAATTTCACCTATGTGGTTCGCATGGTATATTTCCCTATTTATTAGACAGTGTAGGCTCTATATATACATATGATTCTTTTTGTGTATGAATTAATACACCTAGAAAATTAAGTAAAGTGGTGTAATAGAATTGGTGATAAGACATAATACTTGAGACTTTTGCCTCACCAGCTTGGGATATGCTGTGGGGAAAAATACTCAGCACTTTTGGGTCAAATAATGCTAATCAGTTTGAGTTTATGTGGGTTTGAGTTTATGTTGGGATTGAGTTCGAGAATTGTTGTCCATATATATATATATATCTACACATCAGCAGTTGGTATATGTAATGTGTACGTAATTTAATTAAGTAAAAATAAAAATAAATGATAAAAAAGTTAATATTATAATATGTGATGTTCAAGTAATAACAATTTTCTTGATCAAACTTAAGGTCTTGATTTTGAGTCCTTTTTTTGTACTTTTCTATGTAACTTTTTGTTTTAAATAGAGAAGTTAGAAATTCAAGTGAGAAAAGAAGTTGACTTTGAAAAATGCCTTCGACCCCAGTGGGGGTGACTCCCACCACCCCCCACTGTTTTTTGATTGGTCCATATATATATATATATATATATTTTGTCTTTCACTTGTTGCCTCCACATGGAGGTGGGGGTGCTGGGGTCACCCTCCACTAGGGATCCCCGCACTGTTGTTGTTTTAAATAGAAAAATGAGAAAGTCACATAACATAAACAAAGGTTTTAGGTAGAGGTTAATTACTCAGTGAATCGAAGAATCAAATCAAATTCATCTTTTTGGATTGGGTTAGTTTGGTTTTTGAGTGTATTGGTTTGATTTTGATATTTCAAATCATCAAACCGATAAGATTCGATTGATTCTTGATTTAGGCCTTACCTAAATAGAACCAAACCCTTACAAACCTTACTTCTTTAGATCCTTGCCCCTAGCAACCCCTTCTACCTCCGGCAACAATCTTTTCCAGCCTCTTTGCCCTGTCTTGCCACCCCTCCACCCCCAGCAACCCTCTTTTATAGCCTCCCTTTCTTCGTTAGCCCACTTTCTCAACCTCTTCAGCCCTTCCAGCCACTTCTTACCTTTGTCACCCTCACTCTCTATTATGATCTCTCTCTCTCTCTCTCTCTCTCTCTCTCTCTCTCTCTGCAGAGGGTGGCAGGGATGGGCCAATGAGGGGTAGAGGTTGGCTAGGGTTTGGGAGATTAGGAATGAGAATATATGAAGGGATGGGGTTCTGAAAAAAGGGGGAAGAATACTACTCAGCTTGTTTGGTTTGGATTTTCAAAATTTATTTTTTAAAAAATTAAATTTTTTTATTTTTTATTTTTTATTTTTATTGAAATTTTTTAATATTCTAAGTAATTTTAAAAATTTTAAATATACTTAACATAAATACATATAAAAAATATAATATTTATAAAAAAAATCTTTAGAAAATTAACTAAATATCAAGAATATTTATAAATAAATAAAAAATGAGAATTCAGTACATTTTTGTATTCATATGTATTATTGATTTTTCAAAATTACTTTTTATAAATATTTTATTTTTTAGATACATTTAAGTAAGATACATATAAAAAGTAAAAAAATTATTTAAAATTAAAAAAAATATTTACTGAAAATAAAAAAAAATATGAAAAATAAAAAACTTAGGCCTTGTTTGGTTTAACTCTCAAAACACAATTTTTGAAAAAAAAAATTCAAAGTTTTGTTTGATTGGAAGTTTTTTGAAATTTTTTTCCAAAATCACTTTCTCTGTCCTATACATCAATCAATCACTTTTTCTCTCTCATCTCAATCACTTTTTCTCACATACATCTACTCAACTACAACAAAATATCAAATAATTCCAAACTCCCAAACTCCAAAATTATTTTCAAAATATACAACCAAACAAAACAAAACAAAAAATTTAAACTTTCTCCCCAAAATTTGTTTTGAAAATCTATCTCTAAACACAAACCAAACACATCCTTAATTTTTAGAAAATTAAATTTAGAAAAGAGGAGATATCATTTTGCCTCCCAAACTATCACGCATTTTTCACGTTGACCCTCATATTTCGATTTATTTCAATTTAGTACTTGAATTTTTCACAAATTGATCAATTAGACGGAATGTGCTGACGTGGTATTTAAAATTTCATTTTACAGCCCAAACTTTATCTTAAAAATCAATTTGCCTCCCAAACTATATTTTAAAAAACAATTTGCCCCCACATTAGCACATTCCATCCAATTATGAACGGAATGTGACGGTAACGGTCTAATTGATTAATTTGTGACAAGTTTAGGTACTAAATTGAAATAAATCGAAATATGGGGGTCAACGTAAAAAATGCGAGATAGTTTGAGGAGGAAAATGATATTTCATCTATAGAAAACTAAAACCAAACACCCTAATTAGCAGCACTCAATTTGATCTCTTTTTGTTTATTATTTGAGTTGATCTAATAAATAAATAAATTATTTTATTTTATTTTTTGATTAGAGAAATAGAATTAAGTTAAAATGAAATAATTTTTAGGAATATTTACCAATAAATCCCATCTCATAAACAACTATACCAATTAGTCCCATTTTTTGAAATGTTTATCGGATAAGCCCCACTGGTGGAGAGGTTTAGATCTATCTGATCCTATTTTCCAACTTTGGTAGTGAGGCTTGGACAGTTATTCCCTTTCCTATTTCATTGGGTTATTTTTGGTGGGATCACCTTCATTTTTGGTAACTTCATTGATTCCGTGATACACATTTCTACATTTCCATTACTGTTGCCCCAACAAACATTGTGTTACCCATGCCATTTACTTGTCAACAAGGTAGCAGACACAGAATATCCCACCACAACAATACAATACATCACACTTGCAACCCACACACCACAAACCACATCGGTGACAGAAAACGCACTTACCGCCACCACCCCATTACCTCCCCACTTCGACAACACCCAAAAACCACAACATTTCCAAACCCACACACCATCATCCCCCACATCATTCCCTCACACATATTTCGTAAAGTACCAACTTCTAACTCCATGCCCAGCCCACATATCCCAATTAACAAATCACTCGTTTCACAACTCCCAGCAACATGTCACACATGCACAAACTACAAAACAAATATCATTATCCATGCCACACCCCCAACCCACATGCATGCACTACGTTCACACACAGGCAACAAATGCGTAAGACAGCCACAACGTAACACACCAAAAACAAAAAAAATAAAACCCCGATCAACCCAGCCCCACAACACACCATTATCATCCATTACTGTGGTCCCAACAAAAATTTTGTCCCCTCATCCTAATTACTTGTCAACAAATTAGCCTACACACGACACACACACAAAACCCACGCAAGCCCTACACCTACAACCAAATACAGCCTCCCCTACAACATCAACAACACCAACCCAAACCAATACAAAAAACAACACCACAATACACATAATAAATCAACGACACAGATAACCCCAAATGTAAAATCGCAAAACAAAGCGATTGAAACAGGGTAATCAAAAGGAATAAGCAAACACTCATGATCCACATTATCACACAACACGCACATCATCAAGTTGTGGGACATATCCTTTTCGGCAATAACTATACGCCCACAACCAAGGACGGCAGAATATGAATACTAGGGTTTCGCTGTCGTCCACGATCTGCCCTGTCACAAAGACGTTTGCCCAAACAATCATAGCAACAGTGAAAATTGCCCACTCAATCTTTATTATTCCCCCCCCCCCCCCCCCCAATCACGCAACGTTATATACAGGCAATCACAATTTTCAAATCCAAGGAAATCCCAAAAACAAGGGTTTCCTACGTTACGTTTCCAGTGCAGTGTGTGTGGAGATGTGGATGTACAAATCGGGTTGTGTTTCAATAGGTATGAGTTTTCCAGATGTGTGTTACGTGGTAATCAAAAACCACACCAATCTTCTACAAAAACCCTTAGTGAACTTTTTGGGTGTGTGACAATCAATTGTGTGGCACGTGACCCACCGCATGTCGTTTTACCTCATTTGTGCCACACGCGCATATGATTGTACAGCAAACATTAGACACTAACTGATGGCAATTGCGTCCTTTCACAACAAATAGGACTAAACGGAGCACTAGAAAACATATGGGACTAATTAGATTACAAGATCAACATTTAGGATTTATTGGTAAGTTTTCCTAATTTTTAATAATTAACGTGTAACACGGGACCCTAGTGGGGTTCCTTCTAGTGGGGGGAGGATCATTGTACGTGAGTTGGAGAGGGAGGCCCATCTACTACATAATGGTATACAAAAATGTGATAGATGGTAGGATATATATGCATAAATGTTATGTTTTCATTCAAATATATATTAATATTAGGGAATTTATCAATCAATTTTATTAATTAGATTTGTTTATTTAAAGGTTCTGACGGATAAATTGATCACTATAAATTTATTTATAAAAATAAGAAAAATTAATAAATTTATCAATAAAATTTAATGAGTAAGCTAAAAAACCCAACTTATTTGACATTTTGTCAACTTAGACTGCTGTTAATATATGTCTATGCATATATGGGATACATGCCTTACATCTTTTACTACGAATAATAAATAGGTACACCCGAGATTTTGATCCTCAATGGACATTTTCATTCCATCATTTAATAAAAAAATTACAATACATCATCAAAATTCAAAATCAATGTCTATATTATAGCTAGTGAATTATCTATCATCCTCTTGGAAATAAAAAAAAAAAAAATTGTCTATCATCCTTGTTATGTTTTTATGGATTTGTTTGGTGCAAATAAGTTAAAAGCTGATAATCAGAATGCAGAAACAAAAAGCATCCCTTCCTTAGCTTCTAGAGCTGATAATCAACTTTTTTTTAACTTATTTAAGCTATTTCTGTCTAATAAAATACAAACAGAAATTGCACCAAATAATCTAATACATACTTTCAAATTAAAATATGTTATAATCAACGCTTTTAACTTGCAATAAGTAGCACCGATATCCCTGTGATCCTTTTATTGAATTTTTTGTTCGTTTGCGTAGTGGTGGGGGGTGGCCACGATGGCCATAGCCAGAATTTTGGGGTAATCCCACCAAACCAAAAGTTTTGTATTTTCTATTTTTCTACTAATAAATTTGGGTTTGGACCAAACTTATATAGAAGCAACAGGGTAGATTAGAGAGGGAGTGGGCTTGGCTGTTCAACCAATCTGGAAATTTAGAAGAAAAATAAAGTTTCAGTTGCAACTATTTCAAAAAAATTGGAGAAATTGCAATTCTACACATGGATTACTATGTAGGAATTGAGTCAACAAAATTTTTCCATCTGATTGGTTAGAATAGTGAACGTCCACCACATTAGATGGGGCCCACCTCATTGTTGCTTTAATTTAAGAGCGCAACTCGGGCAGGGTTAGTTAGATTGTGAGATTGTCCAAATCTAATTCGAGTTGTGCTAAAAATTATTTTGTGGCTAACTTACAAATTAAAGTTGTCTGCCAAAGCTCAACTTGAGCTTAATAAATTGAACTCGAGTTAGATAATAATTGGTCACAAATTAAAGTTGTTTATTTATTTGTTTTAAGCTAGGTGATTAATTTGTTAAAATTAAACCTTATCAAATTTTTTAGGGGATAAATTATTAATAACATCAAGCAAAAAAAAAAGTCTATATGATATAACAGGACGAAGAAAAGAAAAATGAGAGTTGATAAACTGATGCGCCACGATGATACTCCTTACCATTTCCGAGTGAGAAAGAAAGAATAAAATTTCACATTGTTATATATATATTGTGAATATATTCTAACATTTCATATTATTTTAATATTATTCAACTGCTAATAATTTTTATGTAAATTTAATAGTTTTATAAATTTATATATATAATTTGGACTTCGAATACTCAGGTTGTTGGAATCTTTGCCATGTTCGGCTTGAATATAATTTGAGCTTCTAAAATTTAACCTAGACTTTACCAAATTCAAAAATATGTTACCCAAGTTGAGCCCTGCACCCCTACTTTAGTCAATTAAACGGGAATGTTTTGCTCATTGACCAATAATGTGTGTGAACAAAATTATTTTCTCGAGGTACCATCCAGCACCTTCAGATATCAATAAGAAATATGAACACAAAGCTTATGACACAAAAATGAAAGAAGTCGGACTAACATGATTTGATTAAGCTCTCCATTGGTTCAATTTCAATCTTTGATTTGAAGTTTATTCATGGCAATTTTACTTGCAAAAGTACAAAATGACCGAAATCAATTCAATTTCAATCTTTGTTTTGAAGTTTATTCATGGCAGTTTTACTTGCAAAAGTACAAAATGACCGAAATCAATTCATCTGTTCTTATAAGTGAAGAAACAAAATCCCTCGGGAGAAAACACATACCCCAAAAAAAGAGGGGAGAAAAAACACTAGTACAGAAGCATTAAGAGGAAAAAACAAGAAAAAAATTTTAAAAAAAAATAAAAGGAAAACATAATGAAAACAAAAACAGAACACAAAGAAAGAAGAAATTGGAAGAAAATAAATCACACTAGAGGAGGCATGAGAAAGAAAGCAAAGATCAAACTGAATGATTTGATCAGAGCTTATCTTGCCGGTTTCTTTCTCCACTCTGTGCGGCCCCTGTTTATTTCAAGCCCATCACCTGACAATCTCAACAAATGTAAGAATTGACAGTAGTCTTCATGTTCGTCTTTGGCTGCTGCAGCGGCAGCAGACCCATTGGTCCCATGAAGCTCTGAAACTGGTGAATCCTCGAATGGTTCTGGACTTGTGAGAGAATCAACAACATCATCATGTTGGCATTCCCGTCTGTAATCTAAGGTGATAGTTTGCAGTTCATGAGTGTCGATTATTTTTTGAGGAATACTCTGACAAAACCCCCCCAAAAAAAAGAAAAAAAGAAAAAGTGACACTGTTAGTGTTAGCCCAACAGAATGCTATGTAAAATCGATGAGCCATATCTCATTGAAACTTTAAAAAATGGTTGTGAGACCATTCAGTAAAAACAAGATTTCAACGCAATGCAGATAAATGGTCAACTGTGGAGAGAAGTAATGGGTTAATAGAACACTTTAACAGGCATGGAGACAATAATACATAGATGGCTTGCATATGGTAATATAGCAGAGATCAAAGCATTTTAAAGCTTCTGTTTAAAATTAACAGGTTAACAATAATTGTAAAGGCACCCATTTCCTAGCGGTACACGATCTTAATCGTGGAGCATTCTAATGGGGGCCTGAAAAGAAAGGAAATCTTGATGGTGGTTTTCTATTCATTTTCTTGTCTTTTAATTCTATTGATGGAACATCTATTTGGTAGGTATTCTCAACTGGTGAAACAGCAAGACAAAAAAACATGTGAATCTCCTTGAGCAATAAATCCATAACTACTCATACACAGCTCATGGCAAACGCATCACATCACAACATTTATTTCACACTAGTAGACAAACGAACTAACTTCCACCAAGAAGGGCATGGTTTTTCCTAATTCAGGAGCATGACAATTTGTGGATGATTCAGAACCGAGATATTTATGGAAAGTAAGAACTTTATACATTTCAATTAAAAACAGGAAGAATTAGTGGTCGTATCAGAATAACAGGTCTTATTGAAGAAAAGGAAGTGATGCTTCTACCAACCTCCAGAACCCATCCAATGTAGGTAACGTTGTTTACATGCTGGTTCATGTCCAGATCAGCTCTTCTTGGCTGCAAATCCCAAAACATGTTGAGAGCTTGACAGAAAGCACTTAGCCACAACTTTGATAAACAAAATGACCTTACCACCAGTCCTAGCCGAGAATACTGAGCAGTATCTTCCAGTTTTGATATCTTCTTCAAGCTGCCGTTGTTCTCCTCAGGAAATGCTAACCTAAATGGCAACATGAAGGTTAAGCATATTTAATAAAACCATCAATTTACATGAGAACAGGAGAAGTTTGGGAGTTTGGACAGCAAGGTTGCCAATATCTACCATAGCTATCTTTTATTTATTTAAGAATTTTTTTAGCTACGTTACTAGCTTAACAATTCATATTGTAGACAACTTTAGGAATGAGATATTTGTAGGCGTGTCTTCCAATTCCCAAATTTCCTCCAGTTAGAATAGATATGTGTCTTGCATCATTATTGGAAAACTATGTTGCATGGACTCTGGTACAAATACCAGGTGAGAGTGCTTGTCCAAGCATCAGATCTTCCTAAACTTAAATCTTAAGATATTGAGATATGCATCCAAAAAATATGGGAACATGCCTTATGGTGCACATTGTATAATATTCTTATACAAGATGTAAATTATTTAGAAATTTACTTCAAATTAAATAGAATTTAGGAAGAATATGTAATTTATATATTCCATTCGTGTGGAAAGTTAAATGTTTTTCTAGTAGCAAATTTGAGTTGCTTCTTCGTAAAACATATGAAATTAGAGGATCAAGTGTCTACATTTAGTATTTGGCATTAGGCACATATCCCATACCCTTACCCAGAGGCGGCTCAACCTTTTTCTGTGACTAAGATGAGAAATCTATTTCATGTCTTTCTTTCATATTTTCACATAAATTTTTTATTATTTAAAATTGATTTCTTTTGCCTTTGGTAGATGCAAAATTACCTAAGAAACACAAACACTTACAAGGAGGAAGCATGTTGTGTCTGACACTTCTTCAATGTGTCTTAATTAAAAAATCAAATTCATATTATCTGACACTTTACCGACACTTCTTGAACCCTTCGAACATGTTCTATGTGATGAATCACTTCATAATAATAATCTTTTGCATTCTTCAAAACACAACTTATGTACTATAAATATGTTTTGAAACATTTATAAAATGAATATATCATGTGTATTATATAATGTTATTTTTTTGTATTCTTTAGAATGTAATTTTTACGTGAATAATATATTGAAATTTAAATTATGAAAAAATGCTAACTTCTTAAATATATTTAGTGTAATGTTACATATATATATTTTTTATTTTTGAATAAATTAGTCATATATGACATATAATAAATTTATAAATATATAAAAATTTAATGTGTCTTCAGCATGTCGTGTTCTGTAGTTTTTTTAAATCAACATGTCGGCGTGTCAGTGTTGTGTCAATGTTTCTGTGCTACTTAGAAAATTACTAAAGTTTTTTTTTTTATTTTAAATTTTATTAAAGCTTTTTGACATATTTTTTTAATTGATACTAAGGTTAATTCATTTTATCTTTTTAGTTCGATCATAGGTTGGATTTTATTAATTTTGAATTTTTGTATTTTTTTCCTTAAACAATGCATGCATCTAGGAAATCTGTCTTTTCATAACACTCAATACATCAATTGAATTTTATTTTTTATTTTTAACACATTTAAGTATTACATCTACACGAACTATGAATGTTTGCACACACAAGCATACCAAACACTAAATATTTGTGGGCCCTATCACGACTTGGTGTGGGGCCTAGTCATAGCTTGTGAGTGTGTTGGTATATTTTTGTGTATAACTATTGGTGTCATAACATTTTTCAACTAATATGATCCAGTCAATTTAAGCATACGAGTCATTAAAATGTGCGGCCTCTCTCAAAGGCAATGGGCTTACTCACCCAATGAGTAAGCTTCTATTGCCCTTACCCTTATCATATCCGGTGGAGACAGATACATTGAGGCGAATAAAATAGTCCATTTAACACAGTTGGAAAACAAAAACAAAACATGGGTGTAACAAAAAATTCAAGATTATATATTGATAAAATTCAAGCCTAGAAGGGTCACCTAGGTTCTCTTGGACAGAAAATTAAATATTCCTCTCGGACATCATCACCGACTTTTTGGAGTCTTCTAGTATCTTCGTTCATCATCACCCACTTACTGCAATTAAAAATAGTAAATGGTTGAGTTTCAACTTACACAAAAATAACAACACTAAGCAATCTGAAATTTGGGCAGTAAATATAATACATAGGAAGCAATCTCTGGCCAACATCCAGTGGTTTCCACAAGGGAAAATTTTAAATTGTGATGGCTGACTGCAAAGAGTTACAGTTTTGTGAACAGTAATGCAAGAAACCAATGATAGTCAGCAGGATCATGAAGTTGAAGGGTCAAAATATTTGGTTATCTAGAGTGATCCTCATTTGATTTTAATCTGAAAGTTATGATCACAATTGCATAAGAGGAAAGAAACACCACTTATAAAGTCTCCATGAAAAGAAACAAAATCATAGCAATTTATCAAGCCCTACATTTACAGTTTCGTAAGTTCCTGGAAAGAAGGCAAATTTCAGCAATATTACTTCTCCAAAACTAATATGGCGCATAGGGTTAATAGTATGTGTCTAATTGGTTGTGGGACTGGCACATGTACTTGTTAGACCATAACTAGGTACACAGTGTGACAGTACTGGAATCAGTCATAAACTCTGGTGGACAACAGGATGACCCCACCCTCAAATGTTATAAAGTTCATATTGACAACTAGATTATCTCCCACAATGGAAACAGAAAGGGCCAGAAAAATGCACAAACATTTATGCGGATACAGTAGATATGATACGCAACCTAACTAGCACAAACACTTCTAAAGAGGATCCATGTGTCTGATGTGTTGGGCACCAACACTTCTCGAACACTCCCAAAACATGTCTAACAATTCTTCTTTGTGTCCTAATTTTAAAATAAAATTTTATAATGTAAGACACTTTGATGACACTTCCACACAACTTATGTGATGAATCACTTAATGATAGCAATGTTCGACATTTCTTGGACATGCAACTTTTACACACCCAAATGTGCCTCAAAATATTTCTAGAAAGTAAAACAGAGCACTTCATGTGCATAACCAACATAAATTATGCAATGGAAAAATTCTAACATAAGAGAGAAGTATAGCTAAAGAATAAAAAATAAGAGAGAAATGTTGTATGAATGTAAGCAAATATTTTATATGTTGTCATGTTGTGTCCTACTTTAGATTTGTCATGTCAACATATCCATATCATGCCGTGTTCGTGTCTATGGTACATAGTAAGCAATTCGCCATCCTCCACTTTGCCATTAAGTGGAGTTGTGGGCCCAAGCCCAAATGTCATTGGTTTTCAGTCTTGGGAGGATAGTGGCGTGAACCCGAATGTGGATGGGCTGTATAAGTCAAATGCTGGTCAACTTGATAACCCATCTGTTGACTGGGTTTTCGGCTCGTTGCTTGATGGAATTGGGGCAAGTAGTTACATACACACATAACTATTACACCCATGCCATTAGTGAAATTAGGTAACAATTACACCCATGCCATGGTATAATAGTTACATAGTAAGCAATTCTTGACAATAGTTTCACAAGAACTGTGTCACATGCATGGCATTTGCATGTACGGTGAAATTAGAGAGATGAGTCATTGAGTCAATTTTAGCGAGTCACGTGATTTAAAAATTTGTTGTTTGAAAAACTTTTTTTTTTAAGAACGTAAAATAGTATATTAAGGCGGGGTGGCTTAAGTGGAGGAGTGTGTTTGGAGTACTATGCGATAAATGAGTACCCACTAGATTTAAAAAGAAAGTTCTATAGAATGGCTATTAGACTAGCGATATTGTATGGGATGGAATGTTGGACAACTAAGAAACAACATGTAAATAAGATGAGTATTGCTGAGATGAGCATGTTAAGGGAGATGTGTGATAAGACTAGAAAAGACATAGTTAGGAATGAGTATAATTGTGAATGGGTAAGAGTGACACCAATAGAAGATATTCATCCAAAAAAATAGAAGATAAGCTGAAAAAGAATAGATTGAGATGGTTTGATTATATATAATGGAGACCAACAAAAACAGTAGTGAAGAGATGCGATACAGTGACGATAGAGGGAAGTGTTGGGGAAAGGGACAAACCTAAATTGACGAAGGCTAGTGTAGTAAATAGAAATATAAATATCCTTAATTTGATAAATGACCTTTGATAGAGTCGAGTGGAAAAGAATAATTCATGTAGCCAACCTCATTTGATGGGACTTAAGGCTTGGTTTGATAATATAGTATATTCATTACTTTCATTATTAAGATTTTCTTCTGACAAACTTTAACAAAGGGCCAATGCAATTTCATCAAACTAGTGGGCCAATCTATAGTTAACACAAACCTCAAGGAAGGTCAAAGTAATTTATCGAATATATATTTATTTCTTATCGTGTCCCTGCCATGTTCTAATGTTTTTAAAAAATTACTGTCTTGGCATATCAATTTCGTATCATATTTGTGTCTCGTGTCAATTTCCGTGCTTACACTTGGAGAAGTATAATGGCCAACTAGCACAATAGGTGGAATCCAACTGCATTTTCGTATATCAATGCATGTCTTTAGAATCAATTTGTATATGGACATGATGAAATATTGTATTCTCCTTCAGTAACTCTTTTTGGGGACAGGGAAGGGGGGATTTTGAGCTTAATAGTAAGTAAAGAACTGGAAACAATAATATGTTAAAATTCACCTTGTAGCCCTCCCAATGACTTCACCAGTATCATAGTCCTTGAGAATCCAATCACGTCTAGTGCCAATCTTTCCTTCACTTTGGCACCAAGTTTCTATTTCAACCACATCACTCCTGTACCAAATAATATGAAAATTAAAACTATCCATCGATGATAAAAATCCACATTATGATAAGGGAGAAAAAGATTCACCAAGCTGGGTATTTGTAAATTTCAATGTGCATGCGAGCAGTCACCCATATAAGATGCAATTTTCTCATGGTAAGGGTTGTTGCAAATCCATCTGTTGAAAATCCCACACTCTGAGCATGATTACATCCCACCTCCTACATTACAAAATTCATAAGAAAGTCAAAGGAAGAAAATCCAGAAAGTGTAAGGAATTTGTAAAAAAAATCACTCAATCCTGATTTGATTGAAAGTAGAGTCCAGTAAACAACAATATGCAATATGACAGAGTAACGGAAAGTAGACAAAGATGATAAAAAGGGGTTTGTTAGGGCATCTCCAACCCTAGACTCAAACCTATATCAAATCTAAATTTGGGTAAAAATCACTGAAAAACCTCTCCACTCCTTGACTCAAACTTATGTCAATTTGAGATTTACCCTCTTCTTCTTTTCTTTTCTTTTTTTTTACCCAAATCAAGGGAGACCCAAATGTGGAACTCAAAATTTACAAGACTCTTTTGTAGCTTTCAAATTTAGAACTTTGCCATTATTGAAGCTTCTGAGTATGTCCATTGGAGTGCTTTCACATCAAATAAAAGGTTTTACTGAATTTCAGTAAGAGCTGGAGATGGCCTTAAGAAAACCAACAAGAGAGAGAGAGAGAGAGAGAGAGAGAGAGAGATTACCTGCAAAAGATTAGCAATGGTTTCAACAGTAGCAGTTTTGTTAATCCCAACCTCATAACACCTGACAATGAACTTCTCCTTATAGGAGAGGCCGTCGCCGGTCAAGCTCCCAAGGCGGAGACGGTCCGCCAAGTTGTTGTCGAAGCCCTTGGGCTCTCTCTCTTCGGTGGCCACCGCCAGAATCGAAAAAGGAGAGACGTAGACAGAAACGAAAAAGAAGAAGAAAACAAAGCGTTTCGTCGGCGAATTGAGACGAGCCTCGAAGAAGCGCCCAGCAATTGGCACCGCTTCTTTACGGCTAGAATGTTCCCGGCATTGCATGACGATGAAGGAACCTTCAACAACATCCTTCCTTCTTAATCTCTCTCTCTCTCTCTCTCTGTCTCTCTCTCTACAACTTGAACATGTATAGAAGAGATCTCTGTGATTCTGTGTCGGTAACAGCTTTTGGCCCTTTGTGTGTCTGTGTGAAAGAGCAGAGCGAGGCGAGGCAGCTCTCTCTCTCTCTCTCTCTGTGTCTCTCTCTCTGTCTGTCTATCTTCTTGTTCTCGTCGATGGTACCAAGGGCGCCGTTGGATCTCTAAATGCCACCGGGTTTTAGCAGATTAACAATTCGCCCAAATATCAAATCTGTTCTCACTCTGTTTGGATGGAGGCTTGTGGTGAGGTGAGAAAAGAAGACTAGCGTTGGATTATATATATGAAAAAAACATAGTTAGGTAAAATAAAATACTTTTTTTAATGTATATATATATATATATTTTAATTAGTGAAAAATAAAAGCATTAGAGTTGCTCTTAGTTATTACTCATTGTGACGTGATTATGATATTATTTTGATTATAATTTAATTTTTTTTAATTATATCTTATATGGTATTTAATATAATATTTTTTTTAGTTATAACTCTCATAAAATTAAATTATCACATTTATGATAATCCAAATTATAAAGGGGGATGCACCAATAAATCTTAAATTAATAACTTATACACTGTTTAGTCCTAAAAATTTTCAGAAACTAGGACTTATGGGTAAATTTTCTAATTATAAATGCCATAACTTGCATATGGTAGATAATTTTTTTAAGATGTATATCGAGCTTGTTTGGACACTTGACTTTTTTGAGTTAGTTTTTTGATTTTTTTTTTTTTATTTTAGTCTAACTAAGAAGTTGTATTTTGGATGATTTTTAGTTTTTTTTTTTATAATTAATTTGATGGTTATGAAAAAAAAAATAAAATGATTATGATTTAGATGTGATATTTTATTTTATTAATTATTTTAATATTTTTTTTAATCTTGGTTGACTATTTTAAGCAAAAACTTGTATTAAAGCGTCCCAATAATCCCTCTATTCCTACTTTTTCCCTACTTTAAGAAGTGAACACAAGAGAATTTCCTTTCAGCCTCTCTACTCAACTACCTATTTAAAGGGATGAACTTTTAGTTCACTATATTTAAGAAGGGATTAGGCTTCGTTTGGCAAGTAATTGTTTTATTTTAAAAATTAAAAAGTTATCAAAAAAATTAAAAAACTTATAACATATATCAAAAAAATTAAAAATTTCATTTTTTCTTTATCTTTTACATATATATCCTTTTGTAAAAAAATCAAAATGTCATTGCAATCGTACTAATTTTTTTTACCTCCTATTTTTGTTAAAAAATTAAAAAATTACTAAAAAAACCTATTTTCAAACAAGACCTTAGTACCTTTTAAATATTTTTTCAAATTATCTCATCTCTCCTCTACCATTTGACAAAAAGACGAAGGGATAAGAGAGAAAAAATAATTTTTTAATTTATAGGGAGGGATTAAACTCTCCCTAAATGTAGGGAGCAAAAAGTTGACTCCCTTAAATAGGGAGTTGAGTAAGAAGACTCTTGTAGAAAATTATTTTATATTTCACTCCTTAAAGTAGGGAAAAAATGAAAATAGAGAGACTATTGAGATGCTCTTACCCATATATACATACGTTGACTCTCTAATTTTTCAAGGATAAATTACATTTGTAATCTTTTAGTTTGGATCAAATTTCATTTTGCTTATTTTAATTTTATTTTTAACTTTACACTTTTAGTTTTGTTTTAATAAATCCTTTAGTTACTTACCATTATAATTTGGAACCAAAAAAACATTATACGCAAAACTATATTTCTTATTATCGACAACTACCTTCATTCAATGCCTCTCCCCACCCACCTTTCTAAGCCTGTGTTTGGCAAGTGGGTTTGCAGGTTTTTTTGGCTATTTTAGCCACAAAAAACAAAATAGGCTATTTTAGCCATAGCAAACAAAACATCACATCTAACCCGTAATCATTACATTCTTCTCTCACAAAAAAACTCAAAAAAACTAAAAAGCCAAAAAATCTTTCTCAAACCAAGCTTTTAAGCCCAGGCTAAAATAGCCAAAAAAGCCAAAAAACTAAAAAGCCAACCCACTTCCCAAACCAAGCCTAAGTTTGTTTTCCAAATAAGTTTTTAAAATATATGTACCAAACTTTTTTTTTTTTTTGGTCAGCTTTTATAAAAAAATAAATATAAACTTGATTAATATTTTTTATAAATAAAAAAAAATTTGAGAAAAATTCTCTACAAACAAATTTTGATTTGTTTTTGGAAAAAAAATTTGGAAAAAATTCTCTACAAACAAATTTTCAAGAGTAATCAAACCAAACAATTTTTTTAAAAAAAAATCTCAAAATTTTGTTTGGTTTGCTTCTTTCCAAAATCACTCTCTCGCTCATACACATCAAATCAATCATTTTTTTTTTAAAACTCTCTTCCCAAAACCATTTCTGAAAAAAGACAAACCAAACAAATTTTCATACTTTTTATCTCAAAAACTACTCTACAAATACAAACCAAACAAGTCCTATATTTGAAAGAGTAGCGGTTTGTGTCTCCAGCTATGAGAGAACTTTATCTCTCAAACCGAACCTAATTTTCTTTGATATTTATAAAAAATATTTAGAGTATCCAAAATTTAACAGTCACATTGAACTTCCTTTACATTTAATTCATATAACATTTTATCTTATTTTTATCAATAATTTGTTAACTATATCAATAATAGATAATATTATCATATTTTTTATACTCAAATGTACATTTTCCTTTATTTATCTATCCAACAATGATTCATCCCACTAAAAACATCACCACTAATAGCACTAATGCATTAAAAAAGTAAAAAAAAAAAAAAAAATACAACTCCAAGACCAAAACATCACATCATTAATGGCGGGACCCACTGCCACCTAATTAGTGGGAGCACTAATTAGTGCTCCCAAGCATTTTTCTTTATCTATCTACTTACACACTATCTATATTTGTTTAGGTCGGTCTAGTTTTACTAAAAGAGAGATTAAGAGGCCTAATCATAGAGGAGTGACCTCTGGGGCTAGACCATAAGGAGCCGAGGCCCTAAAGGTCATTCTTAGATAGTGCTACATAGACCATTCAAGCATATAATAGTAAGTCACAGACTCACACATAAGCGAAAATTCGAATCCACACTCCTAAAAGGGAGATTGTTATAATTATACTAAACTTGTGGTGTTGTTAGTTCTAAATTTAAACCGTTCAATAAAAAAAAGGATATGAAACAAACTATTTTAGTATTTTTTTAATTTTTTGATTAAAATATGAGATAAAAAATTAATATATTTAAAATAATTTTTTAATTTTTTACGAAAAAATATATAAAAAGTAGAGAGAAATTGAAAGTTTTAATTTTTTATATAATTTATTAAAGTTTTAACTTTTTTTAATAATTTTTCTAACTTTTAAACTACTCGCCAAACGAAGCGATGCGTGTAAACCTCGATGAAACGTGGCAAAAAGATAAGGAGAGCATTTTGGCATTCGGATCCACGTAAAAAAGACAAGGTGCCACCAGGCAAATTTTGAATTCAGATAACTGATACCGTTTCATATGGTTCATCAATTTTTTTTTATCAAATTTAAATTGACAAAAAAAAATATTTTTTTTCCTATTTTAATAGTTTCATTAAATGAATATCAAATTGAAAATATCAAAAATATTTCATCAAATTGAGGACGCTTGTGAGTTTTTATCAAATCATTGTTCATAGACGTTGAATTTTCACTACTAAATGTTCCCCAGATGACCACCTCTTTGCAAAAATTTATAAAAAAAATATACTGGCCGGTCAATCGGCCAGACATCTGCCCGGTCGACCATTGTCTTGATGCAAGCTCAAAATCCTCTGTTGAAATATTTGACATCAAATAGAGTTTTTACACAAATTTGGTGAAAAAAAAGATACATGTTAGAGATGCTATAAGAGAGACACATGTTAAACTACAGGAAAATATTATGATACACACTATTTCAAAGGGTGTGTATCATGTACATTTGTTACATTTCTTTGTAGTAAATATTATTTATTTTTATAATAAATATTATATATTTTTTTATAGAAGTTATGACAATTTGTCATTCAGAAATGAAAATTACACATTCTATAGTACTATTATACATTTTTGTGGTAATGCTATACATTATTTTGTCCAAACATTTCTAAAAACAAAATATATAATAATAACATTAATAACTTCTACTAAAAAAATATATAACATTTATCACAAAAATATTAGAAACAAATTCTAAATTAAAAGAATATTTTGATTTTAATCTAAAAATGAACTAAAAACAATTATTAAATGAAAAGAAAGATTGAGGTGGAATTGAAATGAAAAATAGATTGAGATTTCGAATTCACCATTAATCTCATAATGAATTTCCCAAATTGAATATTGAATTCTAGTAAATCAATGATTTGGCCAGGTACAAAACTAGAATTTCAATTACGGAGGGGCCAAGATATGAAAAAAAAAAATTATATATCAATTGTTATCTACTATCATATTTCAATTCAAAAATCAGAAATAACTAAGATTTGATATTAAAATAAAGGAGTCACTATTTCCACTCAATTTTGTTTCAAATACACCCCCTTTTTTAATCTTTATTATACATAGAAGGGAGTGTATTTGGAGTAAAGGGAAGTGTGAATAGTAACTTTATATAATAAGGATAAAGAATGGAGTATATTTGGAATAAAGTGGAGTAGGAATAGCCACTCCCTTAAATAATACATAAAATTCATTATCTATTTAGTCTTCACATGATAAAAAAAAAAGTCATATCTACTCAACTTTAATATATAAATAAAAGAGAAATCATAAATTAGTTAATTTTTTGTATATGTTAATTAACTCAATTATCCGTTAAAGTGAAAGTAATTTTTTTTTTCTTTTCAAATTTCAAAAGTTTTACTATGTCTCACATGAATCTCATTAATATGATATCAACATCATAAGTACGCTTCTTGTGGTAATAAACAAATTGTGATAAAAAAATATATATAATTAATGTATTATTACTATTAAATTATGCTTTTATTAAATAAATTAAAAAAAAGATAATAATTCTATTTTTTTGGTGTTCCAATTCTTTCGTACAAATAAACTTGTTTTATTAAAACGTATTAAGTTTTCAATATTCCTAAGGTAGATCAGTAGAGGCCATTTGTAATAACAAGAAAGTTATGGGCAACATAGCATATCATCCCAATAGCATTTTTTCCTTTGAACAGGGGGGCCATGGCCCCTTCCTGTCTACAAATAGATCCGTCTCTGGTATAATCAAATCGCAGGAACGAATCATCTTCAATTGTTACAAATCGTCTACACTAAACTAAGGTTGTAACATGACTTGTCTTCCTTAGGTATAACTTGTCTCATGATTTGTATATACAAACAGATTAAACAATTGTATAACAATATATTCTCAATCACAGAAATCGGATACATTCCTTAGATAAAAACTTTACTTGAATAAATAATTTTTGAAAGATATACAATGATTATCCGAACCAAATCAAAACTAAAATCACAATACATCAATAGAAGTTACTTGATTATGGTTTCATCTCAATCCTGAAGAAGAAGATTAGCCACTCGTGGTTGAGGTAGAATCCACATTGAAACTTTTTCTCCTTGCCTCTGTCTATTTCTCTCCAAAATCCTCAATAACCCTAATAATGATTAGCATCTGTATTTATAGACATAGGAGACATCTAAATAATACCCAAGAAGCTAGAATTCTCCAAAATAAAAGAAAAATTTTGATAGAATTATTCCTATCTTTTTTTTACTCATCTTGAAGGTCTATTTTGACCTAGTAAATGTTAGAATTGAAGAATTATTATTTCACACAAAATTGTAGCCATTTAAGTTAACTTTCCAATTCTGTTTGATTCACCTTAATCCGAAATCCTATCAGAGAAATATGACCAAAATACCAAATGTTGTGTAGAGTGATTCTTCTAACAAGATTGCATTAAATCTAACTTTTCTTTCTTCAAATTTCATGGGGTTGGACTTTGTTTGATTCAAATTATTTAGATTCTTCTAGGCCTTTAGAGTTGAGCTGGAACTTGATCTTAGGTTTCAATTATCAAATTAAGTAAAATTTCTACTCATAAGTTTGAGTGACCTGAACATATACAAACATATTAAAAACATCAAGTAACAATGATTAAATGACCTAACAAGTATATTTTAAGATCTAAATGTGTACATTTTGACAACTATCATTCTCTCAAAAAAATGAGTTAACATTCTTAATCTTACTTATTGTTCAAATTAACTCCACTTAAAACACAATATGAGTATATTGACACTGACTTCATTAATTATATGATATACCTAAAGAAAAATGTTAAGGATCTCAAAAAATTTAACAACAAAACTACTAAATGTCTTGCCGATTATAAAATTCATATCCATTTAAGATATTTGATAATTTTATTGGTAAATCTCTTCAAAGTGTTTTGCATCACTCATACTTAAAACAATTGATTTTGTACTACGATTAGATACTTTGTATGATTAGTTTTCAAGCAATTTAATTTAATTTTTTTTTTTTAGTGTATTTAAGAGTAGTTGGCAACTCAGAATGGGTATGTAAAGAGTAATGTTAGGAATTTCAAATATTTTATTAAATGTCTTATATGGGTGTGAGACTCACATGAGACTTACATAGTGTGAGTCTCATATGCATATGAGATATTTGATAGAACATTTAGTAAAATATTTAGAATTCCTAACATTTAAATCTCTCGTCTTTTCAATCACTCATTTAAAACAATTAATTTTGTACTATGATTAGACATGTCGTATTGATGATATCTAAATTATCAAGCAATTTAAATTGTTAATAATGTTAGAGATATTAAATTTTTTACCAAATAAATAATTAAATGTTTTACATAGATGTGAGGTCCATAATTTTGTAAACCCATATTCATGTAAGACATTTGATTATTTGTTTAGTTGAAAATTTGAGATATGTATTTTCTTAAATTATTTTTTTTTAGTGTATTTAAGAGTAGTTGGCAGTTCAGAATGTGTTAGTAAAGTGGCTCCATGAAGTGAAGTGCGGTGTGAGAGTACTTTCTATACAACACACCAAAATTGGAAGACATTAGTAGTTGGCATTTTTACTTGAGTATATCTCAAAGGGGGGAATTACACGATAGTGGGACGAGAAAAAAATATTTATAAAAAAGTAAAAAAAATTATGTTTTTAATTATTAATAGTTATTATATTTTAAAGAATATTTTTTTTGATCTTCACTGAATTATAATTTCCCTTAACATAAAACATAACTACAATAATAACTCAGAGGTTGTTTGGAGTTAATTTTTTTAATAATTTTTTATTTTTCGAGAGTGAAAAAGTTGTTAATAATTTTTTTTTGAACTTCTTAATTTTTTAGCCATAAAATTGTTTTTTTATAACAACCCAAACAGAGTTTCAAGAGACTGTCTTAGAAAGGTTATTGTTACTCTGGAGCATTATTAACACATTGTTTTCCTTTGAAAAATGTTAGAGATTCTAAATAAATTATTAAATTTTTTACCAAACTTCTTACATGAGTATGAGGCCACATAAATCACATGTACGTGAATTTCACACCCATACAAAAAATTTAATAATTTATCTAAGATGCTAGCATAAACTCTTTTTACTTTTCCTCTCCAACTTTGACTTTTCCAAAACATGTCAACAACACTATAGGGTGATGTTTATTTGGATGATATGGATTAAATGAGATAATATCCCTACAATTATTACTTTTAAAATTATTAATCTCTTTTGATTGTACATCTTATTTTATATTTGGATTGATTAAGGATTATGACAAAGGATTGACCAAAATAAATAAATAAATAAATTTTGCAATTTAACTAATTAATAGAGATTGTTTGGGATGAACTATATAAATGCACTTTTTGAATTTTTAGCTAAAAAAATAAAGAACAAAAAACGTATATTTGAGATAATTTTTTGACTTTTTACGAAATTAAAATATTGTATCAACTAGTAAAATTACCTTCCTACCCTGTGTTGCACTGTGCTGGGTTCTGTGTAGTGCACTGTGCTACACTGTGATGGTATTAAAATTTTGTTTAGGTTCCGTGCAGTGTACTGCTGCACTGTTATGGTATTAAAATATTGTTTAGATTCCGTGCAGTGCACTGTGCTGCACAATTTTTTTGTTTTACCAAAAATATCCAATGATATATGTGAATAGTGTTAACTTTTTTTACTGTTTCAACGACTTTTTGACTTTTTTAAGGGATGCCAAACGCCTACTAAATTTCTCCTTACTTCTTCATTTTGGATAATTTTATTTACGCACCACCAAACTTCTCATTATATACCATTTTCTCAATACACATTACACTCAAATTAAAAGTTTTGATTTCTTCTCAATACACACCACCATTTTTCAAATAATACCAAACTACTTTCCCCCTTCTCCGACAAAACCCTAACCCTAATCACTATAACCGTCGACCGTAGTTGCCGTCGACGCTACAATCCCTCGCCTGTCACTTCTCTACAGCCTCTCTCCTTTCTTGCTGCCTCCATTAACCACCGCATCCACCGCCAGTAGCTCCTCAGATCTGGAGAGAGAGATCGCCATTGGCATCTGGGGTTTGAAGAACAGAAGAAGAAGAAGAGAGGTGAAAGGTTGGCTACGGCAGGGGGATACCGGAGTGTGAAGCAATAGTGCGAAAAGAGAGTCCATTGTTTTCGTCTTCAGTGGTGTCCATCGAAGGAGGAGGGAGATTGGTTAAGATGTCAGAGTGATTGGTGTAGTCAGGTTAAGAATGAGAGAAAGTTGGAGCTAGGGTTAAGATTGGGCCAAGAAGAAGATGAGAAGGCACAGAGAGTGGCCATGGAAGGAAGGAATGAGGTAATTGGAGAATTTTCTCAAAAAAATCGTTTTATATGATGATTCAAATTTTGTGTGTTGTTGTTGTGTACTCTGGTGGATAAAGACTTGAAAATTGGAATGCAATAAAAGTGAGTGCCATTGTCGTTGTATCAAGCATAATGAGATGATGATGATGAGATATTTTCTAAATTAACCACAATGAATTATAGATAATTCTGTTTTTGTGTCTATTATTCCATTTTCATTCATAATCGTCTTTTTCATATTGTGTGGCGACAGTGAATGGGAGGCTGGGAAGGGCTCGCCAGCGGCGATGTGGCGAAGGCTGATGGTGATGATGGGTGACTGTGAAAGAGGGGTGTGCGTATTGAGAAATGGCTTGAGGGACAAAAGAGTAACCTAATAGAGGGACAAAAATGTAATAAAAAAAATAAAAAAATAAAAAATTAAGATAATGGTGGGTATGGAGAAAATTAGTAGCGTGTGATGTTTGGATATACTATTAATTATTACCTTTTATTCTTAACCAAATATCAGATTATACATTTTTGTTGATTATTAATCCAATCCTATGTCATATCCGGCCAAACAACCCAACAAAACCAAACTAATCGCTCAAGATCGATAAAAAAATTTCAAATATCAATTTGTTTTTTATAAAATAGGTTTGTTTAGATTTTAAAATTTTTTACATCGATATAAACAAATTAACCAAAATATTGTACATAAATTTTACATTTTAATTCTTTAAACATTAAAAAATAAGTGATAAATAATACACATTTTGTAATAATAAAAATTAGAAGGGAGGCATTTATCAGAGCAACTTTCATTATTTTTCTTCATTTATTTTCAAAGTAGAATTCTGCAAGTTTTTTTTTTTTTTTTAAAAAACCTTTCAAATCTCTTGTTAATTAATTTAACAAAGCTAAGAAACCCTAACTCCGCTCTCTCTTTTTCTGCTCTCTCTTTAGGAGGGAGAGGATGGTGCTTCTAACTTTCCTCTCCCCTCCCATTTCTTTAGATCTAGACTCAAATTTATTTCTTGACTAAAATTTGATGCTACTAAACACCTCAAATTTAATTCTTGATTGAAATTCAATGCTACTAAACACACTTTTTATACGTTAAGCGACCACCTCATATCCACATTAAGTTAAGGTACCACAACTATTGGTTGCAAAGATGAATGGATCGTGAAGCTAATTAGTAATATTTATTTGGTGTTGTTTGTTTTGATTTTTGATTTTGTTTATTTGATTTTATTATTTTTTGTATTGCAATAATACCTCTCTATATAGAGATTTTCTCCTCGCATGAAAATTTGTTTTTCTCTTTATGTAAAGACTCGTATTTTTAGACGATATTCGGACGACATCGACAAAAATAACAAGCTTTCAAGCAGATTTTACTTTTCAGATCACATCTTTGAAAAGATTGGTAATTTTTCCTAACTTGTAGCTATTTTTTTGACACATTTGTTTTTTGTTTTTTGTTTTGCTGTTTGGTTAGAATAACCCTTTGGAATCTTATTTACGTAATGTTGTTTATTAATATATTGTTTCCTATGTTCTCAAAAAATAAAAAAATAAAAAAAAATCATACTTTCCGAGCATCTTTTCCCTTTTACATTGAGGTTCTCTTTATCCCTTTTGAAATCTATTTGTGCTTCAAATACAACTTATTTTCAGATGTGCAATGTATCAAGTCTCATGTTTTTTCATTAAAAAAAAATGTAAATCCCTACCCTACTAAATCAACAAAACCAAATGATAAGGAATTTGTGAGAAAACAGTTAGAGAGAGAGCAAGAAGCAGAAGAACAGAAGCTTGAGAGGAACGAAGCTGGGAATTAAACTTACTGCCTTTATTCAATAGTTACCAGGCTATTTATAAGCCAAGTCAGAACACTAACTACAAAATAATGCAAAAAGATGTGGTAGATCGTGGAAGAAGTGGTTACAATCATGTGCTGAAAATAATGAAAACAAACTATCACTAATGAAACCTGTGCTAACAGTAATGAAAACAAACTATTACTAAGCCCATTTCTAAGGCAGTATATTCCCCAAGTCCACTTCCACCTATGCATGAGATCATGGGTGTAAGCATGGGATAACGGGTGATGTTTGTGGATAATGGGTGTGCACGTATCATTCCCCGCCGCTAGAATTATCCTTGGCCGCAAGGATGAAATTGGGCCACGGCTTGGTAGTATGCAGGTGGGTCATCCTCTGTAGTAAGGGCGGTTATAGGTGGCTTGGTTTGATCTTCGGCGGCCAAGACATCTTCGATCATGAAGAGTTGGGGTATGGTACAACGGTGGTCGGGCTCGTATTTCTCATCACAATAGTAGCATAGGCCCTTTTCTCTACGGATTCAAGCCTCGGGGGTTGTAATTTTCTTGAACGTATGGGTTTGAAGAGGAAATGGATGTGGGTTCGGTTTTTGGGTAGGGGGTGGACCAAGGAGGCTAGCCGTTGTGGCGTTGGCAGGGTTATGGTTTGGAGGAGTGTTGGTGGCAACAATTGGTCGGGGGAAGATGTTGGTTTTCTTTTGTAAGGTATTGCATTCCTCGACAAGTCGGGCCACGCCAATGGTTTCGGATAGGGTTCGGGGCTTCTTGAGCTTAACGTCCAAGCGAACGTCATCTTTGAGCCCGGCAATAAAACATCCAATCACATGACTATCTGGTAGAGCATCAATGCGTTAGGAGAGTCTTTCGAACTCTTCTTGGTACGCAGCCACAGTGGTGGTATGTTTCAACTGAGTGAGAGCTTCGAAAGGGTCATCGAAGTCAGTGGGTCCAAAACGGCGAAGCAAAGCTGTAGTGAGTTCGCCCCAATCAACGGGCCCTCTAAACTTGGTGAACCATCGGTGCCATTGTAAGGCAATTCCTTCGAGATGAAAAGAGGCAAGCTGGACTCGTTGGCCTGGCGCAATACTTTGAAATTCAAAGTATTGTTCGGCTCGATATATCCACCCGGTGGGATCGTCCCCTATGAACTTTGGGAAACTGAGCTTCAGGTTGATAGCTGGTTTGCTTGGTTCCGGGTTAAGGCGGGGGTTTGAGCTGGAGCCGAATGGGTTGATATTGGTAATATCGAAGTCGGGTTCGGCCGGCGGGGAAAGTTGCAAGGTTTGTAACTTGGCAAGGATTAATTGAAGGGTGTTATGAATTTGATCGAAATTTGACCCATGACGGGCCAAAATTTCGCTTACTTCATTGCGGAATTCGGTGTTTGTTTTGCCACGAGTATCCATGGAACGCGGCTCTGATACCACTGATAAGGAATTTGTGAGAAAACATTTAAAGAGAGAGCAAGAAGCAGAAGAACAGCGGCTTGAGAGAGGAACAAAGTTGGGAATTAAACTTACTGCCTTTATTCAATAGTTACCAGGCTATTTATAAGCCAAGTCAGAACACTAACTACAAAAGATAATGCAAAAAGATGTGGTAGATCGTGGAAGAAGTGGTTACAATCATGTGCTGAAAATAATGAAAACAAACTACCACTAATGAAACCTGTGCTGACAGTAATGAAAACAAACTATTACTAAGCCTATTTCCAAGGCAGGATATTCTCTAAGTCCACTTCCACCTATGCATGAGATCATGGGTGTAAGCATGGGATAATGGGTGATGTTTGTGGATAATGGGTGTGCACGTATCACCAAACCACAACATGCAGTTAGTTTCAGTTTTTCAACTGACAAAACCAAAATATTCGGTTCGGTGCTAAATTTTCACTCAACACCGACCCGAATTGCTTACAATCCTACGAGAAATGTTGTGAATGTGTAGTGGGGCATTTTGATTGCTAATGTCCCAATGTTCAAACGAACAAATCATGCTGGGGGAGTGCGGAATAGACCAATAGTGACCTTTGTGGAGCCTAGAGCCCGGGAAGCTATAAAGGTAAGTTCAAGTCGAAAACATAGTGGGAATTCTTAATCACAGGGATCCAGATGAAAGACCAACCCCCTTTTGAATGAACAGTACGAGTGTTTCAACAAAGCTTTGAATAACATATACCCTTAATGGTATTCAGAACTCGTGGAATGTTGCCCTGTACAAAAGCAACCAAGGCATAGCACAAAAAAGGAATGATGAAAGAGTCTAACTAAATTGTACATTATTCAAGTGTCTTTTCCGACACCATTTACTTCATCCTACTCCATACATGAATACCATGACAAAAAAAATTTACGAGTACCAACCATACAAACAAAGATATGCTGTTATGTGTATGGCAACAAGCCTCCTCAACTGCCTTCAGACTTCTCCAGAGCTGCAACATAAGCGACGTAAAAATATCAACTAACAAACTCAACTATCACTACACTCTACACTACGTTCATGCAGGTAAAAATAATGAAAAATCATAACCGATTGCTCACAATATACCACAATTAATGATTATTGTTGCCAAATATGAGTTTGTTTCAATCTTGACGCACTAATTCTAATCGATGTTAGATGAACTCTTCTAAAATTCTAAAGTACCCATGTCGTACAATCAACACTTGAATAAGTTATATGCTTTTTGACCTGTCTAGTTGGGAATGAACCCAAGAAGTATGTATAACTAGTGAAGTTTACAAATACATCAGACTTCCATTTATGCTTAGCATACTCTGTATTAGTTTTTAAATACCATTTTACCCTTCAAACAAAGTGTGAAAGAAAAATGAAATCCAGTTGTGTTCTTAATGTTCTTGGACATGACATTTAAACATATCCAACATTTAGACACATACCTACATTTAACACCCGTATCTGAGTAATCTTACATATTCTTGGACACAAAAATTAGATGAATCCAACACTCAGACACATACCTACATTTGACACCAGTCCAAGTCTATGTAATGTACTTGGACATGGCAATTAGATGAATCTAGCTCTTCGACACATATCTACATTTGACACCCTAACTGAGTCCAGGTAAAACATTCAAAGTTTTTGAAGGCGAATGCGTAACTCAAGGTGTTTTACCCCTCATGATGCGAGGCGTAAGCATTTTGAATTTTAAAATTTAATATTTAGTAAATAAATTAAATATTTTAAAATAGTAAAAAAATAAATATAAATGTGTAAATATTTCTCTCCTTGAAGCGTTGAGCATTTCACTGTAGAGAAGGAAGTGTCTTCATTGAAAGTGAAATTGACATTCTTAACTTTAGTGATTGAGTTTCTCACTTGAGCATTAACTTTATATTTTTTCTTGATTGGTCATTTATTCCTATAGAAAGAATATAGTTGCAAAAGGGATATTTTGTTCAAACCATGTACTAGACAGTTTAAAAAGAGCCTAAAAGACAACATTTTCATATGCGTACTCCTCACGTACTCATGTGCAAAAGGCATACAATTCACAACTAAGGTGCATGCCTCAAACTGTGATGCACGAGCCTTTGGGAAGTATAGCCTAAAAATCAAAGCCATGATGTGTTTTACCTTAGCATCGAGGCGAGCCACAATAAAGCCTTTTAAAAACTTTATGATTCTAATCAAGTTCTTTAACTAGAAAACTTTAGTGAGTGTTAAATAATAAAAAAAATACTGTCGGTTGCATGGTTAATCAATGAATTAAACTGTGTGTGTGTGTGTGCCCCTGCCTGCCCACTGCTTGAAATTAAACTTTGTGAGTCTGCCCATTTGGCACGGTGCTTGAAAAAAAGAAAAAAAAAATAAAACAGAGACCAAAAATAAATAGAGGGAAAAAAATCCAAACATGCATTGAGAGAGAGAGAGAGAGAGAGAGAGAGTACTATTGTAGTTCAGAAGCTTCTCAATGAGGTCAACATGTGTCATGAGCATTCTTCTACAGCAATAGCGAACCAAACCCAATGCATCAAGGGCATCCCTGCATACCAAACAATTTGATGATACATCCAGATCACGACATTATCTTGTGTAGCAGAATGACTGAAAACTGATTGAAGATAATTACCATGTGTCAAAGTATACGTATGAATGCTTTTTCTTTATTCTTTTTGTCAAATATTTCATTTGGTGTAATTGCAATAAATATTTCTTTGTGTTGGATGCATTGGTAGAATTATGTTTGAAGTAACAAAAGATAATAACCAAAAAACCAAAAGATTACACTATTAGGTATTAAGTATTAACAAACAATTAAGTTCTCCTATACAAAGGTTTTTGATTTTGGGTGCTTCAAAATTTTGCCTATTTTACAAGGATTCAACCAGTTTCAAAGCAATTGTATTCAGTGGTCCAGCACCATGATACTTCTTCATTATTCCCTCCAACCTAACGAGAAGCATGAGTCTCTCTCGCTCTTTGATAGACATCTTTCGGTTCTCAGTCTCATCCAATGAACAACTTTAAGTCCTTATTTTGTGTCTTAGGAAGGTGGTGTTTGATAACTTGATTCAACACTTAAATCTGAATGCATTAAGTGAAAATCAATTAAGCTTGTTTGATAACCATAATTAGTATCACTTAAAATTTTAAGTGGATCTTAAAATGTAATCTAAAACTTGAGAATATTTTAAGTGGTTGAAAACTTACTTATTGTTGACTGAATTTATAAATACTTATGCATAAGTGTTGACATACACCGTATAATCTCATCACCGCCACCACCACCACTGTCACTTCCACCACTAAAGTTACTACCACCGCCACCACTACCATTACCATCACCTTCATCACCATTGTCATTGTTGCTATAAGCATCAACATCGTTTCACTACCACCACCACAATCGCCACCACCACTACCCCCACTTTTCTACAACTATAACATCCCTTCTCCACAACCATTGCCACCACTGCTATAACCATCACCATTCACCATCATTCCACCACCACAATCAACATCATCGCTGCCACTCTCTTTTTACATCCACTACACTACCCTTCCACTATTACTATTACTACAACCATTATCCTTCTACCTCCACCACCATTGCCATTCATGTCATAGCCATCTCTGCGACCTCCATCACCATCACTATCTCACCATTATAATATAAAAACTAAAAGATACAATTTGAAAATAAATTTCAAATTTAATCTTGTATATATCAAACAACTTGTTTTAGTTCAGTAATTAATTTTTTATCAAACATCTTTTCGGCTTAAAAAATTCAGCATTCAATTTTCAATACTTAATTTTCAGTTTTATCAAACATCACCGAAGTATACCCACAAATTCTGGCTGAAACTGGATTAATCAAGCTTAAAAAACATCATTGTAATTTATTAAGTACCAAGCAGAGCTCTACTATTTTGCATCTGTAGAGTTATTTTCCACAATTAATCTGGTTGTTGTTTCCCCTAAAATAACACCTTAATGATGTTAGTTCGCAAATATGTTTGTTTAAGATAAACCTCTTCACTTTGCATCAAATGTTAATACATAAATCTCAAGTAAGATACAAAGGGACAAGCGCATATATGACAAATTAGTGACCCTTTTTGGGGTTTAGCAGCCCAGTCTGTACTCAACTTCACTAAGATATTCTCACCCTAGAACCATAGTAAATCGGTAGTTTTGTAAACATGATCTAAAAGCTGCACAAATACATTACAGGTGGTTTAGAAGATTCATTCAGGAATGATGATCCACGAGCACAAAAAGAATTCTGAAAAATAAAAGAAATGTAAAATGACAAATTACTGGACATTTGGACAGCAATTTACAACCTTTTGGTGACAGTTTGGTACAGTCATGTATTTGTGTTGACATCAAGGTATAGCCCAGTTTGATGAAGACCTGATGTACTAACTGAGTCTCAAAATGGTATATAGACATTTTCTTTTGCTTGAAAAGAAAAAATGATTAGTGGCTCTAGGTAATAGAAAATGGAAATCTAAACTCTGGTATAATAAGTTCTTAATAATTCTATGGTTAACTAACCTTGCATATTTGTTTATAAGTAGAGTAATAAGTGTAATTTATTTTCAGCAAAGAAGTTGAATAATATATTTTAAAGTTGTTATAGAACCAAATATAACTTCGTTTTATATCACTCTATCCACGTATCAAGCCTAGAACTAACAACACCAGAAAATGCATGAACAAAAAACAAAAGTGACCATTTTTCCAGAGTCATGAAAGCACACCAAGAAATCATAACTATGTCAAACCAGCATGATTATTTTTCCTCTTTTAAATGCCAGGTGGGTTTTGAAGCAAAGGAACACACTTGCAAAGTTGGGAAAGGCACAAACAAACCATGAAAGAGTAAATAAATTATAAGGCAAAAAAACTGAAATGCTTTCTTGCAAGTAATATTGTACCAAGTGAACTTAAAGATTACCGTGGCTAGAAACTAGAAAGAATAGATGTATTTCATATTCAGAACACAGAAAATAAATAAATAAATAAAGGAAAAACAAAAATAAAGTACATGCAAAGTGGGTTTTAGTAACCATGCCAAGAACAAATCCCAAGTCCCCCCAAAAAACACCACAATCAATTCTTTTGCTCGTGTCATGAGTGTCTGGTGGGGATTATACAAGCAGCATATTTAATTTGGAAGTTTGTATCAGACTGTTTAGGCTATGTTTGGGATAATCTTTTTTGGCTATTTTAGCCACAAAATAGATTAAAAAGCCAATAAGACAAAATGTCACATCTAAACCATAATCATTTCATTTTCTCACTCACAAAGGTAAAAAAAGCCAAAAAAACCATCCCAAACGAGGAATTTAACCCCAAGCTAAAATAGCAAAAAGCGACCCACATCCCAAACGAAGGCTTAGCACAGTTTTGCTTATAGCTAGGTAGAAATAGCTTAAATTAGCTGAAAAAAACTGATTTTTTTAGATACTGGGAAAAGGTGACTTTAGCTTCTGCTTTTCTGATTATCAGATTTTAGCTTAAAATAATCTCCACCAAAACGAATTAACAAAAAACAACGAGTGTAGATTCAATTACTATACAACTCGCATACATAGATAGTGATTTGTTCGCATTGATATACATAGAATAGAACAGACATATATAGCTCATATAAGTATTCTTTACTCTCACCCTTCAGTGTAATCCGCCTGGAGAAGATCAAGATAGGTGTCCCATTTGTTTCCAATGACCTAAAAGAGAAAAAAAATACAATTCAAAGTTCGAAAAAAATCGATACTACAGAGATCGATTTGCAAACCCTATTACGAAAAATAAAAATAACTAGGGCAAAACAGAGCATTAACTTAACGATTTGAAGAATGAGAGACCATCAAGAAAAGTGTGTGTGACGGATTTGTAAAACTGAAATTTGAAATTGCAAGGTAGGGTACCTTCCCGCAAGTGAAGCAACGGACTGGTATGATCATCTTCGGATTATGCCCTTGTTTTATGCTCTAAGCTCAAATTCTCTCTGCACGCGTGCTCGCAAATAGTGCTATGCTAACTATATATATACAGCATTATTTATTTAGGCAGTGGTTTGGTCCAATCCAATATCGGACTGGACCGTGTTGTTGGCCCTTGAAAGTTCACCACGAGTTTCGTTTTGATAATTTAAATTGTTCAATATATAGAACTCATCGAGTATTATATGTCTGTAAAAAATTACATTGATCGAATTTCGATAGCTACGTGAACAAAACAGTTTTTTATCAACCGTTAATTATTTCACCGTCCATTTTTTTTATACAAAACTGATTTGATCACATAGCTATTGATATCCGATCAACATGATTTTTTATAAACTCATAGTACTCGACGAGTTCTACACATTGAACGGTTCAGATTATCAAAACGGGCAAAAAAAATGGACCCCATAAGCCGAACTGGACGGATCCAGTCTTGATCTCAATTTGAGATAAGCTGGACCCATTTATTTATAATTTAAAATTTTAGTTTGCCCTTACCCTTTTAATTGCAATCACTATTTTGCTCATTTTTTTATCGGTTCAGCTTGTGTCTAGTCTGAAGTCGGATTAGACGGTGTTGTTGGGTTCTTGGAGGCGTATCACGGGACTCGTTTTGATAATTCAAACCGTGAATATGTAGAACTCGTCGATGATTATATGCTTATAAAACATTACGTTAATCGGATATCGATAGCTATGTGATCAAATCAGTTTTATATAAAAAAATGGACGGTGAACAAATTAACGGTTGACAAAAAACTATTTTGATCACATAGCTATTGATATCCGATCAACGTGATTTTTTACAAGCATAGAATACTCGACGAGTTCTACATATTGAACGATTCAGATTATCAAAATGAGACCCATGGTGGGCCTTCATGGGCCCAACAATACTGTCTAGTCCAATCGCGGACTATACACAAGCTGAACCCTCTTTTATCTTCTCAAAACACACACACACACATAGTTTTACCACTTTACCATTTAAAAGTTAAGGAAAATTTTAAAATATAAAAAAAATATATAATAAAATTTGAGTATAGCATTAAAAGAAATTAAATATTTACACAAGTTAATAGACAAAAAATTATAATTTATCTCCTTATTTGAATAAATAGGAGAGAAATTAAAATTAATAATTTATTTCCTATTTTATTTGATTAACGTTTCGTTTGTTTAGGTGAATTTTTTTTTTTTTTTTTTAATGTTTGGCGTTGGTGGTGGCGATGGCGGCGGCGGTGAAACAAAGGTGAAGGTGGAGGTAGTGGCATAGCAACGACAGTGGTGATAGCGAAGGTGATGGTGGTAGCAACTATGGTGATGGTGGTGTGGTGGTGGAGGTAAGAGCGATGGTGGTAGTGTCGTAACATTGACAAGATTTTAATCTAAAAAATATTTTTTGTCTTATAGAAGTAGAAAATATTTTTTGCCCATATAAGGTTTTTTTTTTTTTTTGACCATAGAAAATATTTTTCGTTGACTTTTATTTTTCACTATATCAAACACTAGAAAATATGAAATATGTTTTTTTTTATAAATATTTTCCAACAAAACAAATGGAGTGTAACTTACATTTTCCCTCCTTCCCATTTTGTTGGTCTACTTTTTTATTTTTGAATGTCCTAAAATGAATGTCCATTTTGAAAAGTTAATGAATAAAGTTATGTGGTTTTTTGAATTAAAAAAATAAAATTACAATTGGTCAAATCAAAAACTACACATTGATAGTTTTGAATTTCAAAATTAATTTCCTGCCACCATGAGTAGAGAAATTATTAGGGGTAAATTTAAAAATTTAAAAATACTATTATTACAATAATAATGATTTTTTAAAAAATTAGATTCCTAAAAAATAGACTACTATTTTGGGACGAAAGGAGTAAAAAATAAAATAAAATAAATTAATTCAATTACCAAATTAAGTCAACTTATTATTGTTAGAAAAATGCATCGTCCATTGAATGCTTGATTCCCCCAAACTCTCCACTGAATGACGTGGATGTCATGCCTTGGATTTTCGAGATTCGAGTCACGTAAACAAATCAGTAATCGATAAATAAAAGACAGTAACAAGATAAAATAAAGTAACATCTCTCATTCAAATGGCTATTATAAGGTTAGACAATACATGAGTTTATCTAACTTCATACACCTTATTGTGGACACTCCATTTTTGATCGCCCCGCATGGCTCGAGCGCTTTGTCCGGTACACTTGATAATGAAAGTGGTATTGTGCGTGGTTCGAGTTCTCAATGAAGAAGCCTTGTTTAAGCTTCGAAATAACCCCAAACCTCCCATGTTCCCATTGATTATACCCAAGAAATTCATTTTTACACATTGTGCCACCGTGTGCTGAGGCTGAAACAGAAAAACAGGGAAATGCATTGAGGGCCGGCTATGCCTCATTGAGGCCCATCTGGGCCTTGGTAGCGAGAAACACTGTTCTGGGCGGGAGGCCACCAGTTGTCCATTTTTTGAAGATATTTATGATATTTCTAGCTCAAATTCTATAAAAACAATCATATATCTCTGTTTTGAGGGTTGAAGAATTTCAAAAAAACCATTATATCACATTGAGAGCTCATTCTTCTCATTCTTCTTGTGCAAGCAACACTTTGAGTTAACCTACCACCTTGAACCTATATTCGTACACTATACACAGCTTCATACCTTGGTCTAGGAACCTTGGTTGAGCCTTGAACACCATAATTCAAGCCTGAGAGTGTGTTGGAGCTTAGCTTGATCACAAACAAAAAGCTTACTCCCTTGAGAGGTATAAGCTTGCTATCTTCTCTCTTGCTTTCATTTCTTTCATTTGCTACCTAGTTCTTATTATTTTGTGTTGTTTTGATCCTATTTGAAGTGTTTAAGTTTGGGTTTGAGAGAGTTTGCTCTTTCTACACTTTTACCTATAGCTCAAACCCTTACTTTTACACTCTTTTTCTTTGTTCTTTACACTGATCTTTAGAGTTTAAAAAAAGCTAAAAACCATGCTTTGAGGTTTCAAAAGTGGAGGGGTTAGCCACCTCTCCTTGTTCTTGTTTACTAGCCTTGTTTCCTCTATTTGTTGTTTAGTTTTTTAGGCTCTTTTCATGCATTTTTAGCCACTGTTTTTCATCACTCGAAGGCTGTTTTAGGGCTGTTCTAAGTTAGTTAAATAGTTTATGCATTGATTAGCTGGGTTGTTGTCTCATAAGTTTGCATACATAGCTTGTAGTATATTATTCTTGGCTTTTCTTCAATTCATTTCCATGTTTAAGAACCTCATTTTAATAATCAACTTACCATTCATCTCTTTCATTTGAGAGTTGTTTCAATCTGTTGATGGTTATTCAAAACGTGAACTAGCGATTTATGCTTAATGGCTTAATCTCTACGGAGGTTCATTGCTAATGGTGTAGTCTCTCTTTTACGTTGAGAATCACCTCTCGATTGACATATTTCTCACTTAGTGGACGTAATCCCTAATGAACGTAACAATCATCTTGGACTTAATGGATTAAAGGATGGCAAAGACTAATGAATTTGACTTAAAATTAATTAACTCACATAAAGAAGATAAGTTATATTGCTTGGGGTTCAGCCGGACGTTATGCCGAATCTGTTGTGTCAAGGGTTATCTTACATCAATTCATGATGTTTTGATGAATTTTAAAACGTCTCTATCTCTTTCTTTGAGTTCACTCCATGATAGGAGGGAGGGGTGGTTGTTATTCATTTCATTTATTGATTTTTGTCCAAGTTGTGTATCGAAATCATCAAGCAATCAATTTGCTCATTGATGGTTTTGGAAATAACTCTAACCTTCTCTCGAGGCTTTCCTATGACAGAGAAGTGTGAGAGGGACAAACAGAGTTCAGAATACTCTGTTTGCACTGTTTTCACTTCAATACACAAAACAGAGTTTTGCACAAAATTGAGGCACAGCCGGGTTTCATTGAGGGCTGACCGGTCCTCAATGTTTGGTCAATAGTGTATTTTTGCAAAAAACAAAAAACAGTGGCTGAAGGTGAAACCGAATGGTCTGGGCAGACATTTCTATTCTTGGCTGCGCATGTGAACATTATGCATCCTTGTTTGATGATTAAATTATTAGTTATTATTGTTGTAATTAATTATTGTTATTATAATTAACCTTGTTCATTTGTAATTATTGTAATTAATTAGTTTAAATAGCTAGTTTACTTATCATGGTTACCCTTGTTGTAATAGCCTAGTTAGCTAGTTAATGATTTAATTTATTCATTCGGTTTTGTAATAATTAACTTAATTCAGACTTTGGACTTTTGTTCGCACCCTCTTGCACGAGGGCAACTATGTAATAATATGTATGTTTTCCAACCCCACGTCTTTCTCCCTTTTACTTACTTGCTTATGATGGTTAGTAAAGGACATCACATTTCATTAGCATTCTTATGTTTTGCATCCAAGGTTCGGCTCATCACACTAACCCGATATCAAATGTTCAAATTCATTGCTTGAATATGTGCTCTCTCACATGTCTTGAGTGGAATCATATGCAATGCTCATAGCTGAGTCTGTAAAATACATAATGTGTACGTTGCATTAGTCATATTGCATTAATTAGGAACATGCATATTTTTCTAATTATTTTGCTTTGTTTTAGCTTGGAGTACTAGGTGAGCATTTACTTACTTTAGCATATTGCATTGAATGTTAGTGTTGCCATGTCAAAGCACGTCCACCATGAGGCTAAGTGCTTAAGTGATAAACTGTTTGAACACCTGTGGATGAAGGCTAGTTACTTGAATTGGGATATTTTGATTAAATGTCCATTTTAAGCCCACTTTTTCAAGTGGCAAATTCACAAACCAATTTTCAAATAATACATGAAATCAAATGTTTCAACTCTTGCAAATTAGTCTATATTTGTGTGCGCGACACCTAGTAAAAGTAGCTAATAATCAGAACAAAAGTATATAATGTAGATAAAAATCACATCATGATTAGTAGAGACCCATTTTTGATCGGGCGAGTGGGGTGCTCAATTCATGATCTTTCTCTTTCATACCTAAG